CGATGGCCCGCGACTTGTCTGACCCGTTTTGCCCAAGTGCTCCAGCCACTTGAGGCGAGTCCCCTACGAAGCGAGCGCTTCTCACGCTCTCAGCACCTTGGGACGATGGAGTCGTCTCAATGCCCTTCCTCTTCCGTTGTCCGTTCTCTTACAACGCCGCAACCTGTGAGGGGGGAGGGGGCTACGCAATCGCAACGTGCTGGCGACACCTCCTGTCTCGACGGATGGGCTCATTGGCTGGGCTGGGAAGGGACGAAGTTTTGACTTTTGCTTCTTCTGCTGGTCTGCTTGCGTGCTGCGAATGCTAAAGCAGCAGAAAAGATGGGATGAGACCTAATACATCAGAGTGTCCAGCCCAGTGTCCGAGAGTCCGCATGGTTTCGCGACGCGAGCAGGAGTTGGGAGCAAAGAGCAGGCAATCAATCACAGCACTGCAGAAAAGAGTGCGTGCGGCGGCCGCTTCTCTAGTCTGGGAAAGAGACTGGAGGCTCCATCTGAATTGCTACGTGATGATAGATCCTCACGTGGATGCTGTCGCACATACCCCTCGTTTGTTCCCGCAGTAAAAGTCTACGCGACGATGATTGCTACACTGCGACTCTGACGGACGATGTCTGTGATATAGGCATCCATCCTACGATATAGGCGAGCGACAAGCGTGTGTTTGGGGGCCAAGGGGGTGGTGACTGACAGCGGTGCAGGGCGATCTCCCATGCCCACCGCCCACGATTCACATCGCTAACAATAGCTGTCCGGCTGTGGTACGGATCCTCTGGGGAAACGACGAGAGAGTTTTGTTTCCCGTAATTTTCCCATTTTCTGAGTTTTCTTTTTTTATACCTGCCGTATCCGTTCCTACCCTTCATTTTCGCCTCGAGTCAAAAACAGTTCGCAGATGCAGCATTGAGATATGTTGATGGTTGCGAGCTGGGATTGCGTGAAAGCGTAAAGGAGAAATATCCCGCTACCCGTCGGAAACATGTTTACCTTGCGGCTTCAGCTGAGCATACCATCCTGAAGGAGGGTGAGACTGTGTAAGACTGAGGATGAGGGTTGGGGACTTCCCAGGTTTGAAGGGTTGAAGACCACACGATCCATGGACGAGAACAGATGTGGCCCATGGACAATCAAGATGCCGTACTCGCCGTGGAACATCATCGCATGACTTTACTCATCAAACAATCCATCACGTCACGCATCTCTGATCCGCCTACGGGACGAGATGCCGTCCACCAGCGTGCAGTATGGGCTGCATCTGTGTGCTATCGTAAGGCAGCCCAACGTCTGAGCTAGCGCTGCTGTCACTGATCCCTAGCGCCCGAGGAACAGCGCGGAAGAGGAAGAAACAGCACCAACGAGCCATCAACGACGGAAGAAGAATGCACACGAAGAAGAAAATTCTGGCGCTCTCGCAGTTTCGGAGGCGCTGGGAGTTGAGGGGGGGCGAGTTGTGCGGCGCATCACCCCCCGTCTCAGACGGTCTCCGTCTGGGGCATGTCTCACACCCTGGACAATCAGCCCAAGGTTGTTCCATGCCAAGGGTCGTCGAATCCACTGCGCTTTGCTGCTCCAGGCCAGCATCTCCGATCGAAGCCTGCCAGAGATCCTCGACAGCGAGTCGGCAAGGCTCCCTGGATGTTCTTTCTTCTCTTTTCTTTTCTTGGCTGCCCTGAAGTGCGCAGGGCTAGGCTGGGTCCCGCCTACCGGCTACCGCGCAGCAGCAGCAGCTGCAGCTGGTTCCTGAACGACATCCCTGTCTTTGCATGTCTTCGCCCCTGTCTCTCGTCAGGAACCGCCTGCTTCTGCATTTCCCAGAGAGGCGGCGAAACGGGCAAGTCGTGACTGCTTCCCTTGCAAGTTGCCATCATCTGGGCCTCTGCCTCTGGGGGACCCTCTTGTCTGAGTCTCGCCCTTTCGACCAAGACCCAGAGATCGTACCAGCCGAGACCCCATCCCACGCCGTTCTGGTGTCTTTCCGCCGCGCTGCTACCCACTAGCCAACTTGGCATCAATTTGGCAACCGGTAAGCCGAAGCCTAAAGAGCCAATCTAGACGCCGGAGAGCGGCGTACCTTAATGGTCCTGGGCATTCCTGGGCGAGGGTGGTGAGTCGTGATGACCGCCGGTGGTCCCCTTATTTTCCCTTCCTCTCGCGATGTTCGTATTGTCCATCGGCTCACTCCAAGCCCACCCCTAAAGCTGCGAGCGTCGTGCCTCTCTACTACCTCCCGTCCGATCTCTCTCTTCCTTCTTCTGCCCATTTGGCTCTCGCGTCTTCGAATTCTACGAAACTCTGTTTTGGGCTTGTTATAGCATAGCATTTCCTAGGTGGGAACACGGGAAAGACGGCATACCGTGACCTTTTCGCTCTTTGACCGAGCACCACTCCAACAACATCATCTTTCATACGATACACCCTCCACACCCGTGACCCGTCCCATCCATCACACCACACCCACACCCCCCTGCCCGTGTGTTTGGTCGACTCTCATCAGTCTCCATCCCGCTACCGCTACCCTTTCCATTCAGGTACCAGCCTGGCAAGAGAGAGTCCCCACACGCCCACCACGGCTCCCCTGCTGCTCTTCTTCTCTCTCACTTCATTACTCAAAGGTCTTGGCCGTCCTATCTCTCGCCAAACTCTCCGGACAATGTTCTGCAGGTGGCCACCTGCTTGCCCGTAACTCTACTCCTCCTGCCTCCTCCTCCCCTTCTCTACCTTTACTCCCCTCACCCATCGTAATCGCGAACCTGGACCGGAGGGTAAGAGTAGTGCGAAGGTTTAACGGAACACTCTCCACCAAACAGAACACTCTTTTACAGCAATCACCATAGATAGGGTTGATCCCACCGAACTTCACCGACGGCTGGTCTGTTGCGGTAACCAAAAACGCTCTTTACACGGAAATCGACCTGTTAGTTGGGAAAGGAAATCAGGAAACATACGTCTGGAACAACAAAGTCGAGAAACGCTGGCGACGTCTCACGGTCACCAGCTTTCTTCTCGCAAACCATATTCAGAGCCCACGATGAGGCAAAGTACACTCTTCGCCGTGGCAGCTCTATCAACATTCGCTCAGGTGAGTTTTACACCGGGAAACTTGGGCTGGATATGACGAAAAAAAAAGGGGACAAGGAAGAAGAGGCGACTTACACATAAAATCACAGGGCGCGGTAGTCGACAGGAAGGATACGCTTCAACCCAGGCAGATTGTCAACATTGGAGGGAATGGCGAGGTGGATGTGCAAGGAAATGGCGCGGTGCAGGTGAAGACGGTCAAGGCCGAGAACATCCAGGGCCTGACGGGAGCCAACAACGGCGGCATCCTCGCGGGCATTCTCGACGCACTCAACGGCGCCAACAGAGGCAACCGACAGAACAACAAGGGCCACCACGGCAAGGGCAAGACCAACAACAACAACTGCCCGCCGCCGCCGCCCCCGTTGACAGTGACCAAGACCGTCTACAACAATGCCTCGATCCCCGCGCCGTTGACGGTTTTCGTCACGCAAGCTGCTCCGTACGTTCTTCCTCGATATGCCGTTGTGGGGATCTCTACGGGACTTCAAAAGTACTAACATGTCGATAGCCCTCCCGTGACAGTAACTCAAAGTAATGCTCCTCCGCCACCGCCGCCACCACCCGCGGCTCCTCTCGTGCCGCCCGCCGCACCACCGCCGGCACCTCCTCCGGCTGCTACGCCATCGACACCTGCTCCCATCGCAGCTGGTAAGATCACTCTCGTCCTCCAGTTCCAAACCAGACTAACACCAGCCCCAGAACCTCCCGCCGCCGCTCCCCAACCACCGGCAGCGCAACCCCCTGCGGCGTCGCAGCCCGCAGCCCTCCCGCAAGTCGGCGCCAACCCCGCCCAGGGCAATAACCCGACGACGTCTCTCAACCTCGGCGGCCTCAACGGCGGCGCCAACAACAATAACCAGCCCGCCGTCGCCCCCGCCGTCCCCGCCGCGACGGTGCCCGCCGCCGTCAACAACCCGGCCGCCGCCCAGCCCGGCGTCAGCGGCCTCCAGCTCAGCAGCAAGCTCGTCCTCGGCAACCTCGTGCAGCAGACCATCGGCCTCCAGGCCCGCGCAACGCCCGACGCGCAGGTCCACGCGGCGGTCATGCCCGCGGGCTGGAAGGAGGACGACGGGGCGTGAGTGCCTGTGGTTGGTTAGCATTGGAAGTTGGCACGAAACCGCCTTTCTATACCCGGACTTCCTCGCCGAACTTTATCGACTCTTTCACTTCATACGCGAAGCGTAATTGTTGGATTTGCAGCTGGGAGACCGAAGAGGGGGAGGGCATCGTTGACGAGATGAAAGCACGGTTTGCAGCAGCGGCATACGAATACCCTAGAAGACGTTTGGTTGGATTTACTTTTTTCGATTCTTGGTGGGCGGAAGTGGTGGTACTAATCGGTATTCCAAAAGGAGAAGGGGGGATGAATGAGTATTGGTACATAGGAGGAAGATGAAGCGGAACGTCACCGGACAATGAAAGGGGAACAAGGTCATCTTCTCCCCTTTTCATGACCGGTTGCGCGAAGCGAAGAGTTAATCGGCCGCTCCTCCGTTTTTGACGAGGAAGTGTTGGATGAGGAGCGGCCAGCAGGCTTTCACACACACAAAAAACCCCAGTTGTATATAATTCATTTCTCTATTTGACACACACACACACACAAAAGCACACCATCACCAAACCCTCTGAAAAGCACTCTTCACACATCACACCTAGCTTACGATAGCATTGCACGAATCGGAGAATGAGCAAGTCTCATGAATGCCTATGCTGGCGTGGTGCGTGAAACAACATTGTCCCCTCCTGGCTACTATGCATATCGCACAGAGAGTGTAAGTTGTAGAAAAACAAGTTGCAAGGCTGATGATATTCATGCTCTTCTTGGTTTTCGACAGGGGTATCATAAGGGTTAAATGACATGCTGCCCAGCCCATCGATTCTGCTCTCCTTCAAGCTCGTCGCGGAGCCCACTGCCAGTTCTATGATGACGCCTTCTCCTTTTCCTTCTGCGCTAACCTCAACTTCTTCGCCTGCCTCTTGCTGATGGTCGGCTGCGGGCTGTCCCCCGAGTCATCAGGCGTCTTGCGCTTCTGGGCGTTGCCTGACTTGTCGCCGCCCTGCTTGGCCTTGCCGTCCTTCTTCCCCTCGGCCTTCTTCTTGGCCTCATCCTCCGCCCGCCCGCCGACCTCGAGAACATTCACAACTCCTCTAAAGCCAGTCCTCTTGATCCCCTCGTTCGCCACCACGCCGCGCGGGTTCACGCCCAGCGCCTCCGTGCCCTTGTCGCTGCCGAGCCCCCACACGGCCATCAGGTTCACCACGTCCGCCGGCGCGCGGAGGTCGAGCGCGGACCTGGCCTCGCTGCTGACGACGACACCGCGGCCCTTTGTCGCGCGGAGGAGCGACGCCAGGTTGGAGATGAAGAGCGCTCTCGCGCGGGCGTCCGGCGGGCCCTGGCCCCCGGGCGCCGAGAGCACCTGGGAGTAGCACACCTCGAAGCGCACGCCGCGGGCAACGGCGGCCATCAGCGGCTTGGGGCGGAAGTGGAAGGGGAAGTGCTGGGTCATGTCGAGGGAGATGAGGGAGGGCTCGGCCATGTTGAGGCAGGCGGCCTGGAAGGCCTTTTCGGTGGTGGGGCGGACGGCGAGGATGTCGTAGGCTGCGGCGAGGGCGGGCAGGCGGTAGTTCTGGGCGGGGTCGGCGAGGAGGATCGTTGCGCGGTGGAGGACCGTCGGCGTCTTTGTGGATTGTGAGGGTGTCGTTGTCGTTGTTGGTGGGAATTTCGGGAGGGGATTCGTTATTTGTGATGGGATCGGGGGTGTTACTGTGTGGTTGAGGGCAACTACTGCGTAGCCCAGTGACGAGGCAAAGTTGACTGTGCGGTTGAGTTCGTCGCGGGGCGTGGAGGGTGTCCACGGGATATTGAGGTCGTAGAGCATTTTTGAAGCTATCGCGGGTTGGCTGGCCGTCTGGTGTAAGAGTCAGAGGTTGCCAGAGTCTCCTGCCGTCAGGGGCGGCTGTCTATTCCCAATGCGATCTCAGCGGGACAATGCGGTCCTCGAATCTGTCTTTGCACCCCAGAAATGGCTCTCGTCGCGATATTGTGTTGGGCAGTCGAATGTCGCGTGGTTGTGCAGCTTTGCGACGCGGGTGGAAATTTTTCGAGGCAGTCGGAGATCGGTGAAGTTGGTTCCGCGGTGCGGGCGGCATGACGCTATGGGGAGAGAGTTGAACCATCGGCGGGGGTACTTCGGGCGTGCATGGCGCTAAGAAGTTTACGCTAGTGGGCACCTGGAAGCCACCCGGCGGTCTGTCAGGCCCGTCACCTTTTCGGGGCTGTCGCGTTGCAGCGGCGGGAAGGACGGGCGGGAACATCGGGCAGGAGTGGAGGCGCAAGGGCGGGTGACGCTATCGCCTCATCGTCATCGGCTGCCTCAACTCTCTGCTGAAGCTTTTCTGGTGATGACAGAAGGCGATGGCATTCACGGACTCGTTTGTAAGGGTGTTGTTGGAGAGGCAATAGACGACGCAAGGCCTATGGCGCAGTTTCTACTGTGGCTGCAGCAGCAATCTGGATCTCGAAAGCTGTCGGTAGTCCACGGATGACCCCGGGTTTTCAGCTGAGCGAGTCGAGCTGGGAGTGACCTCGCTCCGAAAGCATGAGCCTAAATCTAAAGGGAATTTCCCCTCACTATGTCTTTTACTGCATAAGAATTGCAGATGATGGGGTAGAGAACTGTACTGCATTACTTGCTTCTCCTGTCACGAAGCACGCTCCATCGCCAAGATGTCAGAGAGGTCACGGGCTGCCTCTCGACTTCCCATGCCCCAGTCTTCAAGAGAAGGTTCGAAAGGCCTTCTCTTGCCTCCGAGAGACATGCCGTGCTTGCAAGTGAATGATGTTGGCGGGCACTTCTTTCGACAGGAACGCCAAGGATGCACCGCCTCGCCAGTACACGCAAGACCAGTGACACACCAACTCGATCGCCGGGCCATCAATCAGCGTCCGCAGTTCATCCCTCTTTTCTTTTCGTGCCAGTCGTATCATTCCCTCAGCTTGCTGGTCAGAAAAAAAAAGCTTGGGCCACCCTGTAAAAAGCCATTGAGTAGCCCCCTTCTTCACGCCTATCAGAAATCGACTTTCTCCTAGGCGTGCAACTTAAACACCCCGTTGGTCCCCTCCCAAGCCAACTGCTTCTACGGACATCCAACGCTTCCGGCTCACTCTCCTGCAACCACCGGCTTACCTAGGACGCGAGTCGGGCTCACTATTTTTTGAATGGGAAGCGCGCCGTGTACTTCGTAAAAAAAACCGTTTGAGCGCGACTTCGACAGACGCCAATCCGATTGAGAGCCGGGACTGCATCATCAGCCGACGTCCAAAGATCCCGCCAAACTACTGCACCTGTGCGCCGCGTCTTGCGCCGAACACTCCGATCCGACCGCCGAAATGTTCTTCTTCTTCGTGTGCGGCGAGCACACCTTCCGCAAGCCCGTCGAGGGCTACGAGGGCATGGTGTGCCAGTGCTACAATTGCGGCAACATGGCCGGTCACGTCATCAAGAGCCATCCGTGGTTCACCTTTTGCTGGATTGTGAGTCCGATTCTGAACGTGGCCTCATCTTGGCGCATCACAGCCTCGCTGGTTGCCATTGGAGCAAGCGACCCCAGGCTGTCAAGACTTGATACTGCGAAACTTTCGCTCAACGAACCGTCTGATAGAGCGCAGCTAACAATCCATGTCCTAGCCCGTCATTCCTTTGTCATTCAAGGGCTACACCGACGTAGTATGCCATATTTGCAACTTTGCCCAGCCGTTGGAGAACAGACCGGATGTCACGGCAATGAAGGGTGGCGGGGGCTACCAGCAGCATCCCCAGCCGGTTCATGGACAGCCTCCTCAGGGCTGGGGACAGCAACAGCCCCATTACGGATGATTTGTTTCTAGTAGCAGGGGACCATGACTTGCGCCGACTTCATGTGTTTCGGGGAAAGGCTCACAGCATCGACCCTGGGTTAATGAAGGTGCCGGAGATGTTCATGTCCTCCGGTCACCTCGAAACGCACAAGATGCAGGGGAGTCTTCAGCTGGGTTCTGGGAAAAGATACCAAGTTCGCGGGCGTTTGGGCAATGATTACCATTATGAGTATCAATGTGACGAATCAAGCAATTTCTTAACAACATCATGCAGGGGATGATCACTATCGGGCAGTTGGTGATAAAGAGCTTTATGCGGGCCGAAACATCGGGATCAATTGAAGATGGCCAATGGAGAATTGCAGAAAGACGGAACAAATGCCTCTCGAAGCTTCATTGAGTTTCTCGGCCTACACATGGCAGAAATGAGGTTCTGTATTTGCCGTTTTTCATTGACATTTACCTAGTACTGCACCTACTCCAGCCTACTGAGGCGGAAAGAGACATGGATTTCATATTCTGAGCAGCGGTGCTCATTGTCTACTGTGCGGTCATTCAAATCGCTATTTCCAAGTATTTATTTTTGACGCATCGATTTTGAGATCATTGAGCTGGAAGTAGAAACAGGAGTGACCGAGCTGTCGTGCGTTCTCAGTCTCATTCGACCATTTCATCAGTGATGGCTACTCTCATCTCCAACTCGCAACAACTCTTGATCAAATTAGACAAATCCATATTTTCAAGTACTCTTGGAAGACCTATAATCATTGATCTAAAAATCGATCAAAAACGTTGAGTTTCCTAACAACCATGTACCTTATGATGAGGTTGACTTGAGAGCATTCACTCTGAGGTATGACGTACAAGCTTCAGCCACATGTGGATTTGTGGCGGTGCAGCGCTCTGAACTCTTTCCTACTGCTTCCGTCATGTCGACAAAAGCATCGGACAAACCACCAATGAACCTCGGCCATCTTACGATCTCCAGAGAAACCCCAACTGCGATCGTCTGCGTGATGCTCGTCGCGCAGTAACGACACCCCATCCCAACGAACCTCTCTCGATCTCCCGAGATCAACTACTCTACAATGGCGTCCGCAAAGCGAGGGCCATCGGTTCTTGTTCGTCGCAACCTCTCCCGTCCCATCAACATTGAATTATTTTGATTGAATCTCGTCCCACTAACGCAAGCTTCGGCCACAGGTGACCGACTCGCGAGAACGCCCACCGCCCCGCGGCGCCCTTCAGCGCCAGAACACGGGCATCGGCGCCGTCCAAGGCCGCCCGGCCATGCGCTTCATCTCCGTCGACAACGTCCTTTACCATGCCTCCGAGATCCCCTCAGGCCAGCCCCGTGTGGCGCCGCCTGCACCTCAACGACCCGGCGCTGTCGGCACCTCTGCCAGCGTAGCAGGATCCCGCCGCGTCAGTGCCGGCCCTGGCGGTGGCGGCAGCAGCGGCCTCCCGAACCTGCAGTCCCGAACCGGCCAGCAAAATATGCCGTCGCGCACGACGAAAATCAGCGAGAAGCTCGTCTTGCTACCCGAGACCGACGACAAGCCAGGCTCCGATGAGGATCTCGACGAGGAGGCGAGCTGGATGGCGCGGCAGATGGAGGAAGAGGAGAACCGCCCCCTGCGCGACGAAGAGCTCGACGTGCTCCGCAAACGGGGCGGCATCCGCGGCAAGTCGTACGCGGAGCGTCTGCCCAAAGTGCAGCGCAAGGAGAAGCTGGCCCGCTTGACGGCTTACTGCACCGCACAGTCGTATAAGATGCAGTCCACAGCCGAGTTCCTCCGCAAGAAGCACGAGGCCAAGACGAAGCTCTACGACGACTGCCTCTACGTGATCTACTCGCTGCCGCTGCTCAACGGCAACGAGGGCTACCGCGTGCGCAGCCGGCCCATCGTCAAGACTCCCGGCAGCGGCAAGACAGTGCTCGACTTGGAGATTGAGCGGAGCGAGCAGCGGGACCATCACGAAGGCTACTTTGACGAATTTGCATACTCGGGTAGCCCCGTGAACGGAAACGGCACATACGATGACTCGCTGCGGCACCGCGAGCAGAGTCCCGACGACGGGAGCGCGTCGCCCTTCGCGCGGCTAGCGCCCGACGCGAAGAACTTTGCGGAGGTGTTCTTATTCTCCTATGGCGTCGTGGTGTTTTGGAACTTCACAGAGTACCAGGAGAAGGACATCCTGGCCGATTTGACATTTGCGCAGAACGAGAACGGATTGTCCCTGATCACGAGGCCCCTCGACGAGGATGACTTTGAGACGGAGGAGTTCCACTTTGAGTACAGCGCCGACGTGAAGAGGCCGCGCATCTTCAACGACATGATTACACTGCTGCCGCGGGGCGACCACATGGTGAAGCTGACCATCAGCCACGCCATCGCGCAAAGCACCAAGCTGTGTCTTTTCGAGGAGCGCATGAGCGAGACCATGCTGGACGCGCAGCACGTGCCCAAACGACTTGCCCTCACAGGCGAGCTCAACATGACGAGAACGGAAATCGTCAAGATTCTGGGACGCCTGTTCAAGTCTCGTGTCGACATCAATCTCTGTAAGTTTTACTTCTCACGCCGCCGGATTCTGCAGACCAGAACCCTAACATTGCACCCCATAGCATCAAACATTCTTGACGTGCCCAACTTCTTCTGGGACTCGGAACCGACTCTGCACCCGCTCTACGTCGCCATCCGCGAGTACCTCGAGATCGACCCGCGCATCAAGGTCCTCAACGAACGGTGCCGCGTGTTCCTCGATCTCGCCGAGATCCTCGCCGACTCCGTCGCCGACGCCAAGATGAGCTACATCACCTGGATCATCATCGTCCTCATCGTCATCTCCATCCTCGTCACCGTCACCGAGGTAGGCCTCCGCTTCGGCATCCTGTCAAAGAACAACGGCAAGGGCGGCGAAAAGGCGGACCTTGTCGCCGTGCCCTTGATCGGCGCCGGGAGCGGACAGCAGCAGATGCAGCTGCCCGGTAGTGTCAAGTGGGAGCTGGAAAAGAGGAATGTCAGTGTCGAGGAGGTGCGCCTGTGGAGCCGGATGCTGTGCGAAGAGGAGGGCGAGGGGGCGAAGTGCGGCGGTCAGATCGTTGGCGAGACGTATGCTGGAGTCTGACGAGATCGCTCTCGACGAGTGCCATATTCGTTTGTAATTTGCATAGCATGGCGTTAGGGCGTTTTCTTTCCTTCCGGAATGGGACATAACATGGGCAAAAGGGACAACACTCTTATTACTTCTGCACAGCAACGCATAGTCTAGGGACGGATGGATTAGGAGCAAGTGGATTAGAAAACACGGTGCAAAGCCAGAAAAGTAGCCAATGATACCGGGTCGCTAAAATCTGCTCACCATCACCGTGAGTGTTCAAGCAAAGGCGACAGAGGAAGACGAGGTTGTTAAAAGTACTTCATGATTCCACTCCAATGCTATGCTACCGTAAAGCCAATGCAGACACAAAACCCCAGCCAAACGCACGCCACTCAAAGGAGACTGCGTCAACTGAACGTGTGTCGAAAAGCCTATATTTTCTAATCGTGGGGAAGAAAACCCTTATTGAACACCCTTTTGTAGTGATCCCCATTATTCTAACAACTATCCACAAAAATACAACAAAGAAACACAGGAAACGCCCCTTTTGCTTTTCAAGTTCTCTACTCGTCCCGGTCCGCCATGTTGGCCAGAGGCACATAACCCTGGTCCTGCGTCCGCCTGCCTCTGAGGCGACGGACGACGTACTTGACCCTGTTGACGATACCGAAGCCGCGGCGCTTGGTTTGCGCGGACGGGTCGACCATGTAGCTAGGGCGGGTCCAGAACTTGAGCAGCAGGGAGGAGACGACGACGCTGACGGAGGAGCAGGCCATCGCGGCGCCGGCGGCCATGGGGTGCAGGTGGAAGCCGAACGGGAGGAAGACGCCCATCGCGAAGGGCAGACCGATGGCGTTGTAGAGGCAGGCCCATGCGAGGTTGAGCTTGATACGGTTGAAGATGGAGCGGGCGAGGTGGAGGGCGGCGGGGATGTCCATGAGGTCGGTGGGGCGCATGAGGACAACGTCTGCGGCTTCCATGGCGACATCGGTTCCAGAGGCCATGGCGATACCAACGTCGGCGGTCGCGAGGGCGGGGGAGTCGTTGATGCCGTCACCGACCATACCGACGCACTCGCCTTGGTCTTGGAGCTGCTGGACGATAGCCTGCTTCTGATCCGGAGACACGCCAGCGAACACATTGTCGGGTGAGATGCCAACGGCAGCGGCCACGGCGACCGCAGTGGAGCGCTGGTCACCAGTGACGATGGCAGTCTTGATCTTCATGCGGTGGAGGACAGCAATAGCGGCGGCAGCACCCTCCTTGATTGTGTCGGAGAGGCAGAGGTGGCCGGTGTACGAGCCGTCAATGGCGACGAAGATGTTGGTGGTTCCGGCGGAGGTGCTCTTGGCACTGGAGTTGGCCTTGACGTTGAGTTGCTCGGACGCCTCGACCGCTTCGGCGGGGACATTGACGTTGTTTTCGCGGAGGAAGCGGACGTTGCCCAGGAGGACGCGGTAGCGGGTGCGGTTGTTGGTGACAGCCGGCTCGACGAGTGCGTTGATGCCCTTGCCGACGGCGGCTTTGAACTCGCCTACACTGCCCTCGAGAGTTGCCTCCTCGTCCAGGCCAAGTTCCGTCTTAGCAGCACCCAGAACAGCTCTGCCAACAGGATGCTCGCTGCCCATCTCGGCAAGGCCAACAATATGCCACCAGAGGCGGCGTCTCCATTCGCTGTCTTGCCAGGCCGGGAGGAGGTTCATCTTGGCGACGCTCATTTTGCCATAGGTAATGGTACCGGTCTTGTCGAGAACGATCTGGGTAATTCTAGTAGTAGTCTCCAAGGCAGCTCCACCCTTGACGAGGATTCCGTTCTCTGCGCCAATGCCGGTGCCCACCATGACCGCAGTAGGAGTGGCCAAACCGAGGGCGCAGGGGCAGGCAAAGACAATGACGGAAATGCACAGCTTCACGCACACCATGATCTTGCCACCACTAGCCTCCTCGGTAAAGACCTTTGGTGGGTTTGCAAGGACATGACTGAGGACCATCCAGACAATGAAAGTCATGAAACCGAGGAACAGAATAGTAGGGACAAAGTAACCAGCAAGAGTATCAGCAAGTCGCTGAATAGGAGCGCGCGTGGTCTGAGCATCCTGGACAAGCTTGACAATCTGGCTCAGCTGAGTATCGCGTCCGGCTCTCGTGACTCTGAAATCAACACGCCCGTGGCCGTTGACAGTTCCACCAATGAAGAAGCTGCCCTTCTTCTTCTGGACAGGCATGGCTTCACCGGTAACCATGGACTCGTCGACGTAGGTCTCACCACGGACGAGCACACCGTCTGCAGGGATCTTGTCACCAGGGCGCAGGATAACGACGTCGCCAACCTGGAGAAGCTCAGTAGGGATGACCTTCTCTTCAGCGGCGTGACCATCACGGTTGGGGGTCTTGGGCTCGCCGGAGGCCGCAGCGTTCTCCCAGCCTTCAGCAGCCTTCTCGGCGGCAATCGGGTCGGCGTAGATGGTGGCCATGGAGGGGGCCAAAGACATCAGCCGCGAAAGAGCCTTGGAAGTCTGACCCTTGGCTCGGTTCTCCAAGAAGCGGCCGAGAGTGACGAAGGTGATAAGCATGGTGCTGGTGTCGAAGATGGTGGCAGGTCTGGTGTGAGGAGGGAAGAGGAATGACACCAGCATAGCCATGATACTGAAGAAAAAGGCACACGAGGTACCGAGGATGACGAGGACGTCCATGGTCGGCGATCCATGCTTAATGGACTTCCAGCCAGAAATATAGAAACGTTTTCCAATGCCGAATTGGACGGGTATCGTAAGGGCCAAACAGACAAGATCGCCGAGGAAAATGCCAGGAAGAAGCTCCCAGCTGCCAAAGTCTATCGCGGGGAAACACATGGGAATAATCATGCTGATAAAAAAGACGGGGATGGCGAAGGAGAGCGACATCTTGAAGGCTCTCCTCCACTCGTTGATTTCGCGGGTCTTGGCGAGCGACTCAAGCTGGGCGTTGTTGTCGTCGTTATCGGAAACCAGAGCGTTGAGACCCTCGGCCTCAACGGCCTCGACAATGCCTCGCAGGCCGATGATGTTTGGCTGATGGGTGACAGTCAATCTGGAGGTGGCCAGACTGAGTTTAGCCGAGTTGATGCCCGGGATGGATGACAGCTTTGCTTCCAGTGCCAAGGCTTGTGTGGCGTCCGGGTTTCCGTAGACCTTGAACTGCGCGGTAGAAGATGCGCCACCGTGCGTAGACGTTTCGAAGGCGGTAGACAGGATTTCAGCACCGAACCCTCTGTCCTCGATGATCTCGGCAATCTTCTCCGCATGCAGCTTCGTCGTGTCGTGAGTAATTACCGCGCGCTCAGCCAGCAGACTGATGTTGAAGCGCAACACGCCATCCACCTCTTTGAAACCGCCCTCAACGGCGGATGTACAAGCTCCACAGGTCATGCCCTCAATCGCGACGGTTGTTGTCGCTACTGAGCTGCTCGGGTTGGTGCTAGCTCTGGGCTTCTCCTGCTGGGCACTTCCACTGTCCACGATCTCGGCGCCGAAGCCTCTGTCCTCGATGATTTCGGCAATCTGGTCGGCGGTCAACAGATCCGGATCGTGCTCGATGACGGCTCTTTCTGAAAGCAGCGATATGCTGAAGCTCTTGACACCCGGTACATCCTTGAATCCGCCCTCCACGGCTGACGTGCAGGCGCCGCAAGTCATCCCCTCAATCGCAATCGTTGTCGTCAGCATTCCGCTGTCCTCTTCGGCGTCGAACAGGTTCTGGTCTGTGGGGAACATGGGTGACGGCAGGTCGGTGGACAGTACTTCGGCGTCAAATCCTCGGTCTTCAATAATCTCTGCAATCTGATCGGCGGAGATCGCTTCCGGGTTGTGCATGACCACGGCGCGCTCCATGACCAAGCTGACGGAGACGCTGCCAACACCCTCGACGCCCTTGAAGCCCGACTCGACTGCGGATGTGCAAGCGCCGCAACTGGAACATATTGTTAGCACGATGCGACACAAGTTTTGGTAGCACAGTCCAACTCACGTCATGCCGCCAACCTTGAGCGTTGTCGTCGCCCACTGTGTCGCAGTCGGGGTCGCTAGAGTAGCCCTGGGCCGACTGTCGTCGGGCCCCGGGACTTTGATATTCGGAGGAGCCATTGTTTCTGTGGTACTTGGCTATCGATGCGCCTTGAAAATGATGTTGTCGGAAGTAGGGCCAGCCTCGGTCTTCGTTCGTGCTTCGGTCTCGGGTAGGTTTCCAGCTATCTGGCTCACGCCTTCATCGTAGGGCTAGCTGTCCATATGGCGAATGGAATTTTGAGTTCGGTAACCTTGGCCGAAAGTATGTAAACGGCAGGAGACGGATAGACTTCTCGAGGAAGAAAGGGGGGGCTCCAGAAGACCGGCTTCCGAGGAATATGTACGAGCTGGCGCAGGTGGGTATCGTGGGAAGCTGTTTGCGTGTGCGTATGCGTACGACTGGGCTGGTGCTTGGTCGTAGCGGGCTAGGAGGTGAAATGCAAAGGCCAAGGGTCAGTGGGTAAGGTGGGATTAAGAATCAGAGTCGGAATGGCACGAAGGAAACGGCGGCAGATCAATGGCACGAGGTGAAGGCAAAAGAAGCTTGGGGAGGGACGGAAGCGGAAGGTCGGCTTTTGTCAGCTAGAGTGTCTTGCCTCGATGGGCATGCATGGGGATTGGGGGGTGGGAGTGAGCGTCAGAATCCCACTGACTGACCGGCAACACGACTCCGTAGCACTATCCGCAAGGTAAATGGAGGCAAGGTACGGATAGAAAGTAGCGCGGCGGCAGAGGAGAGGACCGGTGAGTGGGCGCGCAAGCAGTGCGGCGAGGCCGGGATCTATCATCTGGCGCAATCGTGGAACTGGGGCCGGGGTGTGCGTGTGTGTCTGTGAAGGTGCATCCCCCCCCCCACCCCCCCCCCCCCGGCGGTGCAGGTGTGATGGGGGGGAAGCGAGCGTTACCGTCGCGGTGCTGCAGCACTTTCACTTTGCTGGAGGGAGGGGCTTGAGGCCAGTGCGCGCTGAAGCTGCTGCGGTCGCGGTGCTCGCAGGTGAGAGTCCCAGTCCCGTCGAGTTTCCTTTTCCCCCTAGACCAGACCTGACCTGACCTGAGGCCCTGGCTGTTTTCCACACCTCACCTCAACCCCTGGGACATGCCGGACACACTAGAGACTGGAGCTAGGCCCTGACTAAAAACGACCAAAAACCCACCCAGTCTCCGGAGCGTCGAGGGCTTCAGTTGGTTGAATCAGTGACGGCCTTGTGTCGAACCCTGAAAAACTGCCTCGGGTGGGCTGCAGAAAGAAGGCAAACGGGCGGCCCGCGGCCAATGGGGTTGCTCGGGTCCTGCCAGCCCTGGGAATTCCGCCCGCTGCATCTCTCGGTGCTCAGGCGCCACACTGCTGGACCGGGCTCCTCTCGCCGTCCTCCCATTTCCTATTGACGGGCCACCTTTGTTTCTTCTGGGCCGGAAATCTTAGATGTTGGCTGTTGGTTCCTCAGGATCTGAGATGCCATCAGATGATGCTTATGTTACTCTACGGGATACATTAAGAATCTGTCATACCTAGGTGGGTGGTGGTTACTGAACACGCAGCAGGTTATTCTGTGGTCCCTCAAAGAACATTCTCGAGGCCCAAGTCAGACACGCTCTCATCAAGTCTCATTCCTCCAAACATCTTCAGCCCCGAGTCATGGGCCGCATTGGGCTGTGCACCGCAACCCCTACGACTTACAGACACTATTCCATGGGCATTGCGGTCTGCGTGGCACGTAAGACAGTTACTACGCTGGACGGCAAGAAAGGCACGCAGACAGCAGTACCGTGTCAATGTGCCAATGTCCTGCCATGCCGTAAGCTGACCAAACTCACCCAGCGACCGCTGACCAGTCTTCTCCTAATTCCCGTGTCCTCTCGGACCGGAGCGCATGCCCCACGGGACGACGCACTACAGAGCCCAGAGGCTGGGCCACGATTCGTTTCGAAGCGAGGACTCTACCAAACATTCCTGGGGGCACGGTCTCTGCGGCACTTGAGGGTGGCAGAAGGAAGGGTCTCCTGGATTCCGATTGACCTTTTCTGTCCAGGCCAAACCATCTTCATCCGATGCGTCCATGGCTCCTCGTATCGTGTCTCGTGGTGGGACTCGCGCTATGCTTCATGCTCGAGAGCCATCTTCCGTGCCCTGCTGAAATCCAAACCGCGGCTCCTGTGAGATCGTACTGCGTGCCTTGGAGACGAATAACACGCTACGTGTTCGCGAAGTGCTCAGATAAGAACTATTTGATCACCGCAGTAGTTCGTGTGCTCCTGAGCATCGGCCGGATACCATCTCCATATCCTCATGCAGTTCCGACGGACCGACCAATGGATCCTACACTGCAAAAACCCCGAACCGCTTACCTTATCAACGATACAGCGGGCGTGACGCCGTGCGGCAACGTCAACAACATACGATGACCGCTCCCGAGCCGGCCGTCGTCGGAGTCAACGAGGACAACAATCCTCCGAGCTGCCGAGTGTCTGCGCCAAGGGAATAAACTGTTGGATCTCCACTTACTATCCAGATCTTTTGCGCCCCTTCTCATCTTGATAGACCTAAACCTCCACAAACTGGATCATGGATGTGGCCGGGCTCAAAAGGTAGGAGACGTTATGAATCCGAGATAGAGGCAACTTACCCGAGATGCGCGCATCTCAGCCATGGCGGTTGGAAGATCATGTTCCTTGCCCCCCAAAAGCCAAGCCCCCGGCTCGAATTGCTTGCAATTCTTCACCTGTGTTTTAGCTTAGCCACAGGTGCCAGTGATGAGCAAACGATTTTCCTCAGCCCCTGTTTGCCTCGAAGCAGAACAAAGGAGGCCATCCCCAGTTTTTGCCTGTTCATTCCAGTCGGAAACCTTAGTGTCAAGCTTGATTTTCAGCCGTGGTGCGGCAAGCTCCAGAGGCACCCCCCCCCCATTCCATTAAGGTGTGCGACCCACCGCCAGCTGCCTGCCGGTGCTGCCCCGCGCCGGAGCCGTAGCGTCCCCCCTTCCCGACTGCACTGCAGCAGCCGCTGCCTACCTTACCGTCCCACGGCACCTCAAACGGATCTGACACAAGCTTCATCCTCAGATCTTGTCCCTCCAAAGAAACACACACCCCCTTCGTCATTTGCAACCCTCCACAACTGACGACAGTCAACTGCACTGTACTAAGCGCAAGCTCTTGTCAATCAACTTCTCAGCCTCGTCCTGCGTCGTCCGATACAACAACCTGGTCGTGGTCTACATCTTCAGCCTCGCCAACCCCACTTCAAGCTATCGTGACGACAGCTGAGGTACAGCTACCCTTCACCCCACCTTCCCACGTCGAATCGTGAGTATCACGAACGCGAAGCTCACAGAATGGAGCAAACGAAAGCTCTCAACGCTCTGGAGGTACTTGCCACCCTTTCCCCACGGCCACGCCGGGACCACAAGCTAATATCATCGCAGCCCTTCCTGGCCCTCAGCAAATCGGCAACATCCCCTCGCGCCGCCGCCGACCTCATCACCCGCGCAACATCCAACCCAAACACCTTCCTCTTCACAGAACTCCTCTCAACACCTCAGATCCAGGCCCTCGCCTCAAACCCAGAGTTCCTCCCCCACCTGACCCAGCTCGAGCTCTTCTCCCACGGCACGTACGCCGCCTACCAAACCACCCCGAACCTGCCGCCCCTCAACGATGCCCAAACCCTCAAGCTGCGCCAGCTCACCCTCCTTACCCTCGCCCGCGAGCGCTCCAACCTCTCCTACGCCAACCTCCAAACCGCCCTCGACTTGCCCACCCCGCGCGCCCTCGAAGACCTCGTCATCTCCGCAATCTACGCCGGCCTGATCGACGCCACCCTCGACCCCCACCGCCAGGTCGTCCAGGTGAACTCCCTCGCCGCCCTCCGCGACCTCGCACCCGGCGCCGTCCCGCCCATGATCCGCGCCCTGCACGCCTGGTCCGCCCGCTGCGAGTCCACCCTCGGCGACCTCGAGTCCCAGATCGCGAGCATCCGCAAGACGGCCAGCGACCGCGTCCGCGACAAAGCCGAGCAGGACCGCAAGCTGGCCCGCCTGGTGGACGAGGCCGGCAAGGAGCCCGCAGACCCCAATGCGCGCAAGTTCCCCGTTGGACACGCCGTTGTTGGCGGCGAGCGGGCGTTTCTGGGACACTCTTCGCGGTCGAGTCGGTACAACAAGCGGGGCAGCACGAGCATGATGGACAACACGGAGGAGGTTGACGACGAGGCCATGGACGTGGACGAGGATGACGAGGAGCAGGAGAAGAAGCGCGCCAGTAGACGAAAGACTGCCTCGGGTCGCGCGTAGGTCTGAGCAATGAGTTGGTTCTGATGGATGAATCCTCTCGCATTTGCTCATGGGGCGGGAGTAGTATGAGAACATGGTAATCAAGCATGGGATACGGGTCATGAAATACCTGGGGTAGCTAGGAAAGCCCCCAGCATAGCAACCAAAAATCACGATAGATCATGAACAACTTTTCAGTTAAAACCGTAACGTGTTGATACAGAGGGCCCCTTGGGGCCTCGTCCCGTTCGTCCGTCCATCTGGTCTGTGGGTTTCTATCTACGTATGCCATTGAAGAAAAGATTAGGGAATCAAGAATAAGAGAAGAAAGAAAAAAAAGCGAATGTCGTTGAAGCCAAAAGTCTTCCCGAATCTCATCCTCGTCCTCAACCTCCGACGTTCCCTGCTGCCCAGCCACCTCCTCCCGCCCACAGCCTAAAGAGTAGAAACCAATCGTCGTTGGTTCCTCCGCAATAGTACACAAACAAGACATTGTGTGCATGCACATTGAAGAGAAGAAGAAAAAAATTAGATCCCTTCCTGTCGAACGCCATATGCGAGGCCTATGATTCCCGTGGGGGCCTCTTTTTTGTCCCTCTACGCCATGAGAAAAATGAAACCCTCTGTGGTATCCTGAATGGAATACCGAAAAAAAACAAAACCCGAAAACTTGGTCGCTCAAAAATCCTTGGTGGTCATAACGGTCGTAAGCTCTCTCTTGGTAAACATCACGCTCGTTGCACGATGATGCTACCACGTCTCTTTGTTGCTGATCAAAGCCGCTTGCCTGGGACAAGGATGAACAGAACACAGAGCGCGGCATCAACTAGGAAAGTGACGGCAAGGACCATGATGGACCGCTTAGCGAGGAGCTTACGAACGTAGGGCTCACGGATCCGGGAGAAGTTGAAGGGTGTGTACTCGCTCAGTCCGATGAGAGCGAGGACAGGATCCAGTGAGTATTGGTAAGAGGCGAGGAAGTAGACACCAACGGTAAAAGGGAGGATGAGCTGAAAGGATTGTTAGCATGGACCCCTGCATTGTGTGACATTGTTTGAGAAACTCACCCAGCAGCGCGTGGTACGAGCAGCATCGAGGAAGATGAGGATGAAAGCAGCCCAGAAGCCGCCAAACATGGACAGGAGACCAACGATCATTCTGATCTGAAGGGTGGTGGGGATGAGGTTGCCCAGGGCCTTCATTCTCAGGAAGTTGGGGAAGGCGTCGCGCTCCATAGCCTGGAAGACGTAGTCCTTGGCAACGTCAAAGACCTCGGGGTCATCTCTGCCAAAGTCCTCAATGGCGGTGGTGACGTCCTGGGTGATGGAGCCGGGCAGGATGATTTCGCGCTCGGCGCCGGGGAGAAGGAAGGTGTAGAGAATCTTCTCGGCGGAGGCGCGGATGTCCTGTCTCGCGACGGCGTTGGCGGGGGAGTTTGAGTCGGTCGTCAGGTCCCGCGTGTGGCTGAATGCGCCGCTCGGCCGGCTGCGGTGGTCGCCTGTGCTGCTCTGCGGCGAGTCGTGGGCCTCCTCGCGCAGGTACGCCGACATCTGGGCGTCCTGGTTCTTCTCCTTCTCGGTTGCATACATGGAAGGGCCGGCAGCCGGGTGGCTCATGTCGCCGAGGCCGTCGAGAATCGCGGAAGACCGCTTCGAGCCGGACTTGTCCAGGTCGGGGGTGCCGACGAGGACTGATCTGCGAAGTTCGCGGACATAGTGACGGCATAGAGACATGTGCTGAGCGACATCGAGCCTATTTGCGAGTCGTTAGTCAGGTAACGCGTGTGAGAGTTGCTTCCGTCTGCACGAACCAGAAATCGAGATAGTCGACCGATTTTTGCTGGTCTCGCATGAAGATGTAGAATGAGAACAGGTCGACAGGGGGCAGCGTCCGTCTGCTCAAAACCTCGAAGAGTGTCGGCAATCGGTTGCGTTCGAAGTCAGGCTGAGGGGACGGCGTGCCAGACGCCCCTGTTGATCGGTCCTCCATCATGTTGGTGAAGAGCGAAAGCGTGTCGCAAAGTCGGGAGAGTGAAAAGGGTATCGGCGGTAATTTTTGGAAAAGTAAAATAATCGGGCAAGTCGGGTCGGTCGTTGTTTACCGATGATGTGAAGTCGAAAGGTGAGGCGTCGGAAGGATGCGCGATATCGTAAATGAGGTGCAATCTGCAAACAGGCCCCCAAGCGAGCGGTTTGGCAGGTGTCCTAGGCAAGGTCCTCGGCGGCGCGGGCTGAATGGGTTCGATGGTCGATTGTCCCCCGGGTTTGGAATTACTGTGTGTTGAACGAGCGTATGAAGGGAAGGATCGCGCACGGCGCAGACTGACAGCGTCAGTGTGGTTGGCGATAGCGCGGCAGCGTGATGGTCTTGGGAGTTGCTAAAGTGCTGCTCTCCACGGCATAAACAGCAGAGCAAGCGTCGTCTAGACCCGGGACTAATTTCGTCGTCTGGTCAGGGGGGAGGAACCTGCGTCGGAGGCTGGGTCGGGACGGCGATACGTACCACTCGCTCTCAACTGGACGGCCTGCCTTGCTGAGGTGTGGTGCAGCACTGCAGCAAGCCGGTCCACTGCAGCAAGAAGGAAAGCGCGCTATCCCCGATTGCGCCCAGCGCGGTGCATCGCCCAAGGCGTCCCACTCCCACCCTCTTTCGCAGCGACCAAGATCCACCCATCCCAAATCTTCCATGGTCGCGGCGCTGACATAATATCACGTGCGCGAGATTTCCATCCGTAGCGAGCCAATCAGAGCTGTAACCCTAGCTTTTTGGACTCTACACAACATTTTGTGGGATTGGCCATTTATCCTGAGAACAAACTCTCTAGACAATCGCCCGACCGACCGACTCCGACGACCAACGACGACGAGAGGTACCGCCAAAATGTCGACCAAGCAGAAGAAGCCTGCCGGAAAGCAGCGTTCCGCCATTGCGGACGTCGTCGCTCGCGAGTACACCATCCACATGCACAAGCGCGTTAGTATTTTCCAACAAGAGGCCGTCGCCGCCGTCGCCCGAGGCGGGGATGGCGAGCGGTGATGGGTGCCGGGAAAGTTTTTCGACAAGGACACGGCGATGCTGACTCTGCGCCTCTCTACTAGCTCCACGGTGTTACCTTCAAGAAGCGCGCTCCCCGTGCCATCAAGGAGATCAAGGCTTTCGCGCTCCAGGCCATGGTACGTTCCGCTGCCCCTCACCCGATGCGACAAGAAGAAAAGTCTGCGCCCAGGACCGCAATCAACCACGACCGGTCTCTCACACGACAGGCGATTCGAGGATCAACTACTTCACAGCTGGACAGAACAGCGGCTAACCTCGATCACTTCACAGGGTACCTCTGACGTCCGCGTCGACCCCCAGCTCAACAAGAAGGTCTGGGAGCAGGGTGTCAAGGGCGTCCCCTACAGACTCCGCATCCGCATCTCCCGCAGACGAAACGACGAGGAGGGTGCCAAGGAGAAGCTGTACAGCTACGTCCAAGCCGTCAACGTCAAGGACCCCAAGGGTCTTCAGACCGTTGTCGTTGAGGAGTAAAAAGTTCTCTTTGGGATGGTTTAAGGGCGGCATAAAGGCATAGGAGTTGCATTCGGCATTCTAGTCTCACATACAAAATCGACGGAAATGTGAATAACACTTGATTCCCCACCAACGACTCGACGACTTCCTTTGCTGTTTCTTGTTTTTTTGGAACCCCGCGCTGTGTGTGGTCGGTGGTGGCGGTGGGATGATTATGCGCGCGCGGGGCGATGGGATGTGAACAAAATGAGAGGCTTCTTGGGACAACACAACGATTTCTTGTGGTTCATATTACAACACACCGTCCGACAAGGTCCTTTCTATCGACTTGGTGGTCTGCCAGACGCAGATACAGGATATATCAAATCCTACCCAGGTCCCAGCCATGCAATGCAGTCCAATTCCTAACAAAGAGTTCCAAAAACCTCCCGGCCCGTAATCATACAAGACTCCGATTCTCCAGTGCTCAAATTCCAATGCCACTCTCCCCGTGACGTCGCTCTCGCAAGCTCTTCTCATTCACGTGCCTCGACGTCTACTCGTCCTCAACGTCGCGGTGACGGCCGAGGACCTTGCGCTTGAACTCTTCGGGGTCCTTGTCCCAAAGCTCTGCGGCCTCGCCGTTGAGAGGAGAGGAGCTGTGATCATGTTAGCGTGTGCGCCGAACCACTTTTCAGCTGGGTCTACCTACTTGTTGGGCTCGCCCAGCAGACTTTGCAAGCTGAGGAGAACGGTCTGAATGTTGTAGGCGGGGGTCCACTTGTCCTTGAGGATGTCGAGGCAGATGCGGCCGGAGAAGTCGAAATTGGGGTGGTAGATTGGCGTCTTGAACAGGACGGTTGGTGGTGCGTAGGGGTAGTTGCTGGGGAAAGAGAGGCTGAGCTTCAGCGTCAAGCCGGCGTAGGGAGTCTGGTCGGGGCCCTCGATGGTCGCCGTCCACGACATGAGGTTGCCGTCGGCGGAGGGGAAGGCAGAGACGCCGGGAGCAGGCGAAGTCATGAGCTGCATCAGCTCTGTCTGCAATCTGTGACCACAAAGTCAGTCTACCTGATCACGAGTAAGGCGGTCATCGCCGACCAGCTCCTCATACCTCTTGGTGACGCTCTGCGCATCGGGTCCCTTCCTGGCGCCACCGAGCTTGGCTGCCTGGACGCTACCGGGAGCAGAGTTCTGGGAGTCCTCCATGCTGTAGTCCATTGTTGATGAAGTCGAATACTGGGAAGTGCGAAGAAAGCAATAGCTTTTGAGGGTATCGATGACCTCGAGGTCTAAGCAAAGGCGATGATGTCTGGTAAGAAACAGAGACGAGATACAGCAGGAGGCTGGATGCTGGATCGGGAGGAGAAGGGGTTCCTCCTTGGGTTTATGAGCAGCTGGAGAATGAGAAATGCGCAGAAAATCGAGGGGCGAAAGATGAGAAGTTGCAGCGGCGTCAAGAATAACAGAAAGTCGTTATTCCATAGGGCGAGAGGGCTTCTAGGATTGGAGAATTGGGGGAGCCGGTACCTGGACGACGCGCCGACTGGGCTGGGTTGACGTTTCCGGGTTAGCGCTGTCGCTGCCGTACGACGAGCTGCCAACGGTCTTCCGGTACGTACCGCCAAGACATGTCATTGGCTGTGTTCAACTTCACCTCAAGACGGCCTCATATTGGCAGTGTCTTCCTGCTTTGTTGGGTGATGGAATTTGAGGATGCGTTTAAATTACAATGGAAAAAAATTTGAAACTATTATTTTTGATTACTTATATCAAGTTGACCAGGGCAAACCTTTCCTTCTGATACTTCTCTTAGTCATTCGTGGGAAGATATTGACGAAATAATCGTCCTTTCTTTTTTTCTTCTTTTTTTTTTTTTTTTTTTTTTTTTTTTTTTTTTTTTTTTTTTTTGCCAATATATGCCCCAGCGCTCCAAAATATCCGAAATCGCCAAGTTTTTGGATCTGTTCCTGTCATTGAAGTTATCTCATCTCAATTTTTCTTTCTAAATCCGGTCACTCGCCTGTCATCCCAGCAGCTGACTGCCGTTCCCTCTGAGATAGTTACTTCTTCTATATTTCTGCAAAAATAACTTGTTTGATCCAACCTCAAACTTCTAGAATATAGAAAGGAACATCATCGTCCTATTTTCATTATCACAGCCAAATCCATCGCTAATCAGCGTAGCAGGTCCTTGGCATGACTTACACATCCAATCAGCACATTACATCTCATTCTCAATCACGCATCAACATTGTTCTATGGCCTCACCAGCAAGAATTAGGCATCAGTAGAGTATTTTATCTTAGTTTACATCCAGGGACGGAAGGCCATGGAACAGAAGAGGTGCTTCCGTGGCGCTGAGGCACATGACATCGTGTGATCCCACGCGGGCCTGGAAAACAAGCATAAAAGTCGGGCTGATGTAGAATCCAAACTTTTCGTTCTCTTCCTCGCAAACAAATATTGCGGAAGAATCCAACTTTCACAGAATCATACCATGAATTTGACACAAAGCAATTTCCTTCCTGCTCTTTCTGTCTTTGTTCTCCCTCACAAACGCTTTTGCTGGGTAAAGCTCAAACGATTTGGAGGGGCAGGCATCTTCCTGCAAGGCTGCCTGCCCGCCTTTGGCAACTTCCTTCCGCCTCTGCCTCAGATGACATCTGAAATTTCTCTTTTGGTCCTGCCTTGGGGCAGCTGTAAGTACTTACCCTCACCTCACCTCAGCTTAAAACCCAATCCAACCTCACCCTCCTTTTCTTCAGACCCCAACTCCCTCTCCTCACCTTTCATCGCTCAACCAACAATTTCACCTTCACACTTCATTCTGCCCGGTGAAATATTTGCATTTGCGACTCGTCTAATTCGATCTTCCAAAGTATTTCCTGCTTCCCCAAAATTTCAGGAACACACTCCATCATGGCACACCATGGCTGCCTTGGGGCCGGCTGCGTAAAGCAGGACCGTGACCTAGCGTAAGTCTATCACATATCCCCAGACATCAGAAAGCTTGCTAATCGTTGCAAAGGGTCACAGAATCCGTGGCCAAACATCAAACGGTCAAATCCTCTCCGGCTCCCACCTCGGGAAATGGGTCCCATGGGCCAGAGTCCCAGACCAAAGAGACACAGGAGACTGCTTCCAAAAGCTCCAAGAACTCGTCAATGTTCCCCGGACAACCCATTGACAAGGCGTCTCGATACTGCGCGAGCCACCAGAATCCATGGATCCGGTGGGATCTTGTACGAGTTGAAAGACTGCAATGCGAGTTCTGCCACAAGTTCCAGACAGAGTACGTCTTCCAGTGCAAGGGATGCAAGATCAAGGCGTGCAATGTCTGCCGCAGAAAGAGAGGCTTTCGAGGGTAAGTTTTGAACCACATCATGAAGAGACTCGGGTGCTGACTACTTTCCAGCCCTCAGATGTAATGGAGACATTGAAAGTTACGGCGTGGGCCTCCCCTCGAAAAGACCACGACAAATTCTCCGAGGTCGTGGACACAATTCGGGAAATACGACATGGGAACTACAATATGGGAACTATGTCATTGGAACTACTTTGACCTGTGCCCTTCACCAATCAAAAAAAGTAGTAATCGTCACATTGGCCGCCTGCGAGACCAAAAAATACAAGAGGAATTCAGAGGGTTGGATCGCAGGACGCCTTTGATGCCGCTGCCGGTACCCTGGAAGGGATGAAAACCGCTAGAAGGAAAAAGGATACGCCGTTGATGCATCGTGCGTTTGATGGCTTACAACAGCTTTTGCAGTTGTTCCAGAAGAAATTACTTTGAGCAAATCAATTTATAAAACCAGAACAATTCACTCTTTCTAAATTGAGCCTTGGTCGATCGCACTGCAACGTGATGTGTTGAAGTTCAAGCCCCACTACAGCTTTGCCCTTTGCAAAAGCGGCGAGGGCTGAGGCGGCGGGCCCCTGTAGCTTTAGAGGGGGTGTGCTGCGGACTGTTTACCAGGCCAACGCTCCGGCAACCACGATAAGGCTCCTTATCCGCCAATGGAGACGCGTCGGCTACGGTGGCGCTGAAACGACCCTGGAATTGGCATCAAAACACGCCAAAAGCTCTTTACGCGGTTGATGCGCGCGCTCCATGCCTGGAGGGAGGAATGGGACCGCGTGGAGCAGGGTCCTAGACAGGCCATGAACACGGCGAGTCTGTTTGAATCGGGACCCTGGAGTAGGTTCTTTGTGCACAAATTGCCTCCCCTAGTCAGCTACGTCATGCATAGTGTTTGTGCCCATTGTGATGCTGTTGTTGCCTGCCTTAGTTTGCCAGAAAAGAGTCATCCCATTGTGATCCAAGACCCCTGTTAACCGTCTCATTTCCCGTCTAAGATCGCCCTCCATCATGGACTAGCCAACCGCAATCTCTCCCACTGGAACCATCTAAACACCATCCGGACGTGGCATACTCACCAATTCAAGATGCAACAATCGCAGCTTGACCCCCTGCCCACGGATCTGCCCTTCCGGATCATCTCCAAGACCATTGGACGGGGCGCATACGCATCGTGGGATACCCCTCTTTCGCGAATCGCCCATCGTGGAGCACCCCACTGACATGGTAAACACAGGATCAAGAAGGCCATTCCGCAAGATGCGACAACACCGGTTTTCGCCGTGAAGTTCATCCACAAGGGATATGCTACGAAACATGGCAGGGTCTCGCAGAAGCAGCTGTTGATGGAGGTTTCGCTGCATTCTCATGTCGGCCAACACTCAAACATCATCGAGTGGTTCGCTTCCGGGGAGGACATCAACTGGAGATGGATCGCTATGGAATTCGCCAGCGGTGGCGACCTTTTCGACAAGATTGAAGCCGACGTTGGCTTGAACGAGAACATTGCCCACGTCTACTTCCTCCAGCTCATCAGCGGCGTGAGCTTCGTCCACTCCAAGGGCGTGGCGCATCGCGACTTGAAGCCAGAGAACATCTTGCTCTCAGAAACGGGAAACCTCAAGATTGCGGACTTTGGTATGGCCACCATGTTCGAGTACAAGGGCCAACGGAAGACCAGCTCGACCCTCTGCGGCAGCCCGCCCTACATCGCCCCTGAGATCCTCGCCTGCAGCAAGGCGGACAAGACCACGCCCACCGGCAGCAAGTACTCTCCAGATCTGGTCGACATCTGGTCCTGCGGTGTCATTCTTTTTGTGCTACTCGTCGGAAACACACCTTGGGACGAGCCATCACAAGTCAGCTGGGAATACCAAGAGTACGTTCGGACCAATGGCCGCAGCACAGATGCCCTCTGGGCAAGGATACCGACGAACGCCCTCTCCCTGCTCCGGGGCATGATGTCTATCGACCCTGAGAAGCGCTTCTCCTTCGCCCGCGTCCGCCAACACCCGTGGTACACCCGCACAAACCCGCACCTGACCTCTGACGGCCAGGTCTCCGACCCCATCAACCTCGCCACCAAGATGCTCGAGAGCCTGCGCATCGACTTCAGCCAACAGCCGACGGCATCGCAAGGCACCTCGTCCAACGCCGACGCCATGGACCTCGACTCCTCCGGCTCCGGCAAGGTCTCCTTCACGCAGCCCGAGACCCCGATCAACGACGTCGCCTGGGACTGGGAGCGGCCCGCCCTCACGGCTATGAACCCCATCGCCGTGTCCTCCACGCAGCCCATCTCGCGCAGCGAGTCCGGCGTCGCGAACCGCCGCCTCTTCCTCGAGTCGCTCGAGCAGGAGCCGTCCATGAGCCAGTTCTCGCAGACGCCCGGCGTCCCGCTGACGCTCACGCAGGCGGCGCGCCGCTTCCGGGACATCGTGCCCTTCGAGTCGCTCACGCGCTTCTTCTCACACGTGCCCCCGACGCTGATTGTGCAGATGCTCAGCGACGCGCTGCACCACCTCAACGTCCCGCTATCGCCGGTCAACCCGAACCTGTACGGCGACCACATTGCCACGCTGCGGGTCAAGACGCTCGACGAGAGGAGGCAGTCGCTGCACGGCGAGATCCACATCGACAAGCACCGGCTGCCCGAGGAACAGGAGCTGCTGGATATCCGGTTCGTGAAGATCAAGGGCGATCCGCTCGAGTGGCGCCGTTTCTTCAAGAAGATTGTCGTGCTTTGCAAGGATGGCGTGTATACCCCGGATGCTTAGACAAGGAAACTTCACTGGGAACAGAGGGAATGAGGGATGCTGAGACGAGATTCATGTGTATTGATGTGTACGGATACGCTTGGGATAATGATTAAGCAAAAGTTAACGCTTCGTGGAATGATTACTCGTGTTTGACCTCTAAGGGACCAGAATCGGGCCGCCTCATTTCAACTCAGTCTATGGACCAACATGAATACGATGGCACATACGGTCAAGGTACTGCAGGATAGCGACGGTGATCAGAAGTGGAGAAGATAGAGAAAAAGATAGACGGAGAAGAAAACGGACAAAGGATAAGAAAGATAGAGAAGAAGACGGATAGAGAAAAAGATAGATAGAGAAAAAAGCGGATGAGGAAGAAGACGGATAGAGAAGAAAATGGACAGAGAAGAAGACAGAGAAGAAGACAGAGAAGAAGACAGAGAAGAAGACAGAGAAGAAGACAGAGAAGAAGACAGAGAAGAAGACAGAGAAGAAGACAGAGAAGAAGACGGCTATTTTACTAAGAGCAGGCCTGTCCTCCTCGCTCAATTCTTCTATAGCCTCCTGCGCTGCTGAGATCCCCTTTCTTTTGACCGTCGCACTCGACGTCGCTGTATTGTTACGGCTGTCGTGTTGGTTGTGATCATCGCTCTGGTCATTTTAGTGATTGTCCATGTCGCCACCATACTCCATATCGTCATTGTCGTATTCCTGCAAAGACAACTCGCCGTCTAAATCGTTGTTCAAAAGGCACCTGAGAGCGCGGAGGCCAGTAAGTGACATGTGGAATCAGCCGGCCGCCAATCTTCACCTCGCCTAACTCAACGAGTTCGCGACCGACGAACTCCTGAAAGGGCCTGTAACCTTTAGACTTGTAAACACGCCATTGCTGAATACGTGCCGAGGTTTCCAGATCCCACGATCTCCAGTCGGCCCCGGTGACAGCATCGAAATGGCTGGGGTAGAGATTCGTCAAGTCACTGTGCCAACTCCTAATCTCCCGTATGATGAGAGCCAGGAGGCTAGTGAATACCGGCCCGTGGCCAGTGACGCCATAGGTGTTGAGTCTGTTTCGTTCACATGTCTGTCCTTTGCAGAGAAAAAGAAAGAGGTATGCGTGGACCATTTCGTGAATAAGAACCCCGACAATGTTTGACCACTCACCCTTGACTATCGTCCTGTGTGGTACACTTAGGTCACGCCAGCTAGAGAAAAGTCGTATTACGACAAGGTTCTCCCCTTTCTGACGTGCGTCACCCAACTTGCCCTCCTCTCCGACGCCCAGATGCGAATATCCTGTGAGTAGCTGCACAGTTGGTAGCCCCCTGCGAGTCATACTGCCGAAGAAGAAGCGGTCGTCCAAGAAACGCATAAGGTCGCGCAAGAGTGTGTCCAATGGCGGTGATTTGCCTGCCAGAGCGGGCATCGTGTCGAGAATAGCCGCCATAGATGAACCGTCCTTGAAGCGTTTGTGGAATCCATCTTGAGCCGCTTTTTGGCGAGCGGTGAGCTTGTCGTGGAGGAAACCGGCAACGGTCTTGTTCAGCAGGTCTCGTGCGCCGTATGAATGGACTTGTAGAGGCCACTCCGGTCTGTCGTCGGGCACCACTTCCTCGGCTCCTCGGCGGATGGCCCTTGGAAACGTGGCGTGGTTGCAAGGCTGTATAGACTGGACCGGGACGGGCACCTGCCTTTGCGCTTGAGGCGCCGACATGCTGGCTAATAGTGGCTTGTCCAGGAACGAATTACTGTCTGAAAGAAGTCTGGGATCATGATTGCGCCGGGATTGGAGAGACTTGGCTCACTCTTATGGAAGTCTTAGAAGGCAGCGGGGATTGATTCCGAACTGGTGCTTTCTTTGACAACCTCACTCAAGGTGTCCTTCCAAGGAGGAACCTTTGATTAAGGTTAATTATCCTGTAGGATCGACAGAAACACTTCGCCTTTTGTTGGGCAGCGTCCTCCAAATCGAGTATTTGGAGGTAGCAAAAGGTGTCAAACAATAGGCGACCGCGATGCTCCCAAGGTGGCTTTGCCATAAAGGTCATTCCCGGTAGAAGAGTCCAAGAAATAACCTGACGAAAGCAAGCAAGGTATGCTGATATATTTGCCAAGATGAGCTGTTGTCGCATATCATATCGCCATAGATGTGGTTGAAGCGTTCGACTGCAGGCATCTTCTTGCTTGATTGTGAAAGGACCTGAACGTTGAGACTTCTTATTTTGAGTCGACTGCCTGATTTTCCTGTGCTACAGCGACTCTGCAAGTGCGTATAGACTTTATAGCTAGTATTTTTGTTGTTATCATTGTGATCGCTATCGTTTTTGTCGTCTTTGTTGTCGTCTTTGTTGTCGTCTTTACTGTCTCTCGTCGTCATCTCTCGTTGTCGTCTCTCGTCGTCATCTCTCGTCGTCGTCTATTGTCGTCGTCTATTGTCGTCGTCTGCTATCGTTGCTACTTCTATTTTTTTTACTCCTTTTATTATCGTCCCTGGTCGGAGTCACTTAGTGCACGGGAAATAAAATACCTATAACACAGGAAAAATAGGCAGTCTTCTTGCTTTTCCTCATCTTCATTCTATCACACCTACCAGTAGATATACAATCATGAAATTAACTACCAACCTGTTTCTTCGTGTACATGCAAACAGTCGCGCGAATATTGATATCAACATTGCCTAGCAGGGTATCTGATGCGCTGACCTCAAAGGTCCCCAGACGAGGATACATAGCAAAGCGGATAAGTACTACAAAACCAATCATCGCAGAAACAAAAACTTCCCAACAGAAAAAGAAAAAAGAAAAACATGGAGAACAGCCGATGCGAATCACTCAGGAAACTCCAGAGTTTCAGCCAGATTGCCAAATACCTACCATCCCATTCGCTCAATGCACCATATCAGCAGCATAGGTACCGTACGATCCAAGCATCAGGATGCGGAATCGGGGACCCTCGCCGACGGAAAAGGACCATCGTTATAGTTCTGCCATTTACTTCCCCTTGGACCAGCCGAAGCAATTGGTTGGGACTGTCAGCTCGAAGAGGTAGGAAATTCCGTAGGCTATCTGCAAGCATGGCCTGTCGATATGCCTCATTTTCAATGGCGCATGAGTACCCATCAACACAGCCTCCCTCAAGACTACATGCGGAGTCCATGTCCGCCAGAACAGTATGCCAGGAGCGCATTTGCTGAAGGATAAGAGCATGGACTTTGAGGAACGTATTTCCGTGCCCACTTAAGCCAACGGTGTTGATGGAGTTTCTTGTGCACTGCTCACCATTGCAAACAAAAGTATTGAGATAGGCGTGGGTCATCTCATGCATAAGAGTTGAGACGATGGTTGACCATGGAACGGTCTCTGCACACAATGAAGACGCTGTAAGAGTCCATACTTTGATGTGAGACGAGTTCCCCTTAGAAATTGTTTCTCCATACTTGATCCCCGCTTCATCTCTCAGAACATGATATCCTGTAGAGAGCTGGACACATGGGGCTTGATGCCCTTGATGAACGCGAGTCAAGGTGCCGAAGAAGAAACAATCGTCGAGACATTTCATCAAGTCATGGAGATAATTGTCAAGAATTGCCGCAGCTGCCAACTCGTCAACTGAAAGGGGGAATCGCCGCCTTTGCTGAAGAGCGTTCTGTTGCCACGCTCGAAAGACATCTGCTCTCAGCGCCGCCTGTATATAGTAAGTAAGAAAGTTGTCACGGGCTGATCTCTGGTAACCATGTACAAGGCCCTCAGCAAAATCCTTGACCGTCTCGTACGCGAGTTGTGTAGCGTTGTAGGTTCCTGGTATCAGAGGCAGAAATGGCCGCAGCTGGATCGACTTGGCAGAATAAGCTTGCTGATGAATGCCAGGTTCTGGAAAGGAGACAAGATGGCAGATTTCAGTCCTCTTGCAGTGAAATTCATGGAATTGTAGGAACACTTGGTTTTCCATGTTAATGTTTGGTGTTTGGTGTTTGAGATGACGCCTTTTTGTCTGAGAATTCAAGTCGTTAATGACGAGATAGAACAACTGGAATAGGTTTACGGGCGATGCTATATACTGGAACTTGTCGAGTAAACTGTCGTCAAAGTAAGCACCCCAGAAATATGTCAAACCTTCGACATAAAGACTGAGGAACTCGACAAGAGTTTTGAAACCTCCAGGCCTCGCTGGGTGGCCGTCTGGCCTCGTTTGAGAGACAATACCATTGATTGCTTTAACCCACACTAAAGCCTGTCTCATGATTGATCGAGTCTTTTCTTTATTTGGCTTGATCTAGATAATTATGATAACTTGAATGCTGATAGAACGAGCTGGCTCGTAGGCCTGCAATCGAGGTCCCGCCATTGAAACTGAAGCCAGCTATCTATATAATGGACCTAACAAAGAGAAAAATTCGCAAAATGTATTATTGTAAGAGTAAGTATTCTCGAAATGAAAACCGCTTCCGTCTTGTCATTTATCTTTCTTGTGTCGTTTAGATTTGCTTTTGGTCACGAGAGCTTGACCTCGCTTGAATAAGGACGCAATGAAGAGTCGGAAGCCCTTGGACGTCTTGGAAGTATCTATAATCGCAACTAGATCTTGAGAAGTTGAGCCTGAATCTGGCCCCGAAGATGACTTAGGAGTTGTTTCAGGAGTCGGTTGAGGCGTTGGCTCTGGAGCTGGTTCGAGAGTTGGCTCTGGAACTGACTCTGAAGTTGGCTTCGAACTCTCTGTTTTCGACCATACATGCGTACATGTAACCGACACCAAACACCCCCTGTCGTTGATCTCCATACGAACGAGCTTTTCAGGAGAATCCTCATGAAAGAGAGGATTCAAGCGTCCGAAATGTGGTAGCGAACGCCATTTTCTGTACTCGTCCTCCTCCTCCCTGAAGCTTACAAGCGGGAAGAAGAACCCCCCGTGGAGGTCGTAGGGCCACCCGGCCGTGAAATCAGGATGCCAACTCTTCAACTCCTCCATCATCAAGGTGTTCATCCTCAGAAATGTCTTGCCATGTCCAGTAAAGCCCCTAGTGTTTGGTATATCTTTTTTGCAACAGGCGCATGTGCAGATGAACACGTCAATATATGCATGTAGCAGCTCATGCAACAGGGTTCTGATTGCGAACTGTAGCGATGCATAATAGATTGGTCCCGAGTGATCGCGAAGGGCTTCAAATACAGTAACTTCAGAGTAGGGATGCCCAAACTCGGAGCTACCTTTGCATATGCCACCACAATAAATGCGATCGGGTGAGAGATGTGTTTTTAGAAGATCATTCCCGGCATCGAGACGGACCAAGGGGCGTAAGTAGCAGGGGCGATGTCGAGTCAATGTGCCGAAAAAGAAATAGTCATCGAACATCCTGATGATTTCGCGTAAACTGTCTCTGAAAAATATTTTTCTCTGCGCGGATGGCGGTGATGTTGTCAAGTGGATATCTATGTGTGGTGGACCATCAAAGGCTCTTGGCGCAAACTGTTTAGAGTACCACTTCAGAAATGCAGATTTGGCCATCAACTGATGTGGATAGCGCTCGCCGGATAGAAATCCCGCGCATGTGGCATCCTGGAGGTCGGTAGCGTCGTATGTCCCTACTGTCAAGTCCAGGAAAGGAGGGTGATCGGCCAAAGATCTCAATGAACTTGCGTAACTCTCGGCCAAGCTCTCCTCACAGAGCTTCGGAAAACAAGGGTGTTCGAAAGTCTCGCAGGCCTTGGCTGCGGAATCTTGCGGCTCGTGTGGTAAGCCTTGAGCGGCCATGGTTCTATTCGTTTGCTGATGTTGGCCAAGTGTGAAATGTATGGAAGTCGGAGTCAAGTCGACTGAAACGTCACTCCCGAAAAGCCAGATGTTGAGTATTGAAGCAAGAAAAGTTCTGGTGGTAAAGAATTCATTGATGTTTGTACTATTTATGTCTCTCCGTGGGGGGCTTCCCAGAAAGGTGATCGCAACTTTACAAACACCGGCCTCATACATTTTCCTTGCACCTTAATGGCCAAGTCGTTGCTGTCCAGTCCTTAGTATATCAAAACTTGACCAGCGCCTTGCGCTAATTGGTTAAGTCATTGTACCAAGTTTGAAGAGAAGCGGTACCTATTTGACTTGAGCAGTCTATCAACACTTGCATTTGTATGTTTACAGAAAGGAGCGATTATTCCGCGCTCCCCGTTCTATTTGATGGTGAGTGTTGTGGCACAACAACTGCATTCAAATATTGGAACAACTTAACGCGCTCTGAGCCTTCGCTTTCTGCAAAGTCCTCCGCGTTTCCCCAGTCCGCGGATTCTGTCATGTATTCTTTTTCCTCGTTTGCACTTCCGATTGATGGTATCGTACAGCAAGGTACTACCTGCGGCTGCACCCTTTCGCCTCCCATACGGCTGCAAGTGATGGAGACATATATGAGGGAGAGTTCTGTCATTCATTCCCCGAATGCCTAGTTAATTTCGCGCAAATGCCCTGTCATAGAATATTGCTGTTTTTGCTGTGGTCCACCCGACAACTCCGTGACTCGAGTCTAGAAGCGGGCTGAACATCCAACTTCATTTGCGGGTAAACCCAAATTATCTCAGCTTGTTGGTCATGATTTGTTCTAGAGGCTTGCAATTCGGAGTCACATCGAAGCTGAACAAAATGAACACTTGAGTGACAGCACAGCCAAGATTTACCAGCAAGCGACGTCATAAATCGAAAAAAGGAGGCCGATGACATCCCAGCACATAACCCACCAGGCTTTGACAAGAACGTCAAATTCTATTATTTCCATCTTGTTCTATCATATCTAAAGCCCGAGCGTTGGCTACGTTACGCTATTCTCTCTCAGGTACCTAACACATGTAACATTACTTAGTGTTGGCTTGCAAGTTGTGGCCCCCACACGCCCCTCGCTCTTTTCTAAGAAAGAGGAGTGCAACGGCCCAACCCGAAACTTCGCATAGGGTAGGGTAGACTCATCCCGAACCCTGTGAACTTGTTGGAGCATGGTGCCAGAAGCAGGTGGACAAGGTGTCAAGGTAGGTTGGCACGTAGAAAACGCCTTAACACATTCCTGCCTGACTAACTTATTATTAGTCCCAAGTGCAGTCGCCGGAGAATATTCTCAAGACGTCCAAGTGGCCGCAAGCTTATGATTTCCAAATTGCGGTCAGCCTGAAGGAGTTGAGCTGCCGGATCACACTCGGGTCATTTATCTAGCGTAACTGATAAGGCCACTAGTAACCAACAACTAAGACTGCACCGGACATGTACAGTGGGTGGTTCAGGGAGCAAAGCTGCCGATCAAAGTGATCTCACACAACTTTCAGGAAACAAATTCTTCCAAGGATGTTGGCGGACAAATGCCAGAAAGACCATGCGTTGTTGGCATTGTTATGTGTTACTGCAATGGCAAGCCTAGTCATTGGTTGTTGGCGAAGATCTATATAAGAATCCAAAGTTACAAATTGTTCTGTTCCCAGTCACTAGTTCAGACCGACGAAGAGAGAAATAAAAAGCCTAAACCCCAAAAGTCCTACTGTGGTATCTTGTCCTGTCTCATTCGAATTCATGGCAACTTCATCGTATCTCCGTCTTCATACGGTCAAACAGCTCACCGATCCTGTGCTCAAAGGGGGCGAGGGGGTGCTCCTCCCCGAGACCCATTTCGGCAAACCTGTAACGTGCGTTTGTTGTGTGCATGGCTATGTAGCCCGCGACGCACTCGTTCCAGGATGCTTCATACGTGCCCCTTCCTTTGAGAATGGTCGCGACCCGCCTGGCACAACTCATTGTCTCCTCCTTGGTCTCCTCAACGATTTGAAGAAGTGGCCTTCCCGTGGTCAGAGCCCGGTTGTGAATATAGTTTCGGGTGTCGCCGCTGAGCTCTTCTTTGTAGAAACTGCAGAGAGCCTGTGTTAGCCAATGATTACTGTAAATGACATGCTCGAGTAAGACCCACGAAAAGACGTCGTTTGCGATATCGATGATTCTGGCCATGTCTGGAATGGCCTCGATCCATTGTGAAACGTCAGGATACATCGCTTTAGGGTAGCAGAAGACGGCGTATGCAACGTTGATTCCCGACATGTCTCTGAGGAAATCAGGGAACTTCTCGCCTGCTCTGGTAACTTCAAAGCTTAAGAAGCCTTCGTGTCGCTCCAACAGGTTGCAGGTCAAAAACTTCAAGGCGGATAGTTGAAGCATGTTGGCCAACACGGGGTCCCAGTGGTCGTAGGCCTCCCGTAGAAGAGTTGCAAGGCCTTCTAGCAGGTTGTGCTTCTGGCGCTGGCCGCTGAAGAAACGCTTCTGGAAGGCCATGGCCTCCTCAACCATTGCCCCCTCTGCCTGTCCAACGAGATCATCGTATTGTACAACGAGCCATGTGAAGAGACCAACAAATCCCTGGACCACCGTGGGGTGGCGGGGATGGGCAAGCTGTGTGACGACTCAACAATCACATCGTTCGCCACTGAAGAGCGATCTGAAGTCGGGGGCGAGCTTACCAGTCCTAGGGAGTATCCCAAGCGGAATCCTTTGGAGGAGATGGGCGTGTCCACAGGAACACCAAACTCAACTGATCTCCTGTACATGTACTCTAGCAGAGACTCGACAGCCTCTGCCTTGAGCACCGGCGCCCCAGAATAGTTCATCTCCTTGATCATTCTGGCGTTGATAGGCCCGCATATGGAGGCCAGTCTCTTGGGATCCTTTGCAAGGTCCTCATCGCGTGGCCAGCCGTGGGAGCCGCCAGAACTCCACAATGTATTGAAGATATTTCCCCAAGAGGAAAATGCACTTGCAGCAGCATCGTGAGCCCCAAGGCCGGCGAAGTCAGGTGTAACAGACATCGATGCAACGTTCGAGCCCTGCCCGCAGGAAGGAAACAGTACAAATGCAAGAAAGCGTGACGGAGAAGTCGGTGAAACTGGATTCAAGGCAGGGCAAACACTGTCTGTCTTCTATTGTCAAAGATTCACCAACTCGATAAACGGGCAGACCTGCGTTTTATCCATGGCCGTCACGCGCACCCAAATTCGTTATCGTGGCAGAATCGGCGGTTGAATGTCTGTTTGCCCATCTCATCTCAACCATCGTCATCCATGATCAGAGCCTTGGTCGTGTTCGAGACTGACCGATACACCGTGAAAATTCGCACTGTTGATGCTATTGATCCAAGTCAGTGGGCTTACAGCGAGCTCGAAGCTCCCTGTCTCATTAAGTTTGTCGACTACTGAAGTTTGTTGCCTGCTCATTGGAGGACGACTTGAGTACGGCCAGGGATCTGTTGACCAATGCAGCAACCAGGACCCATGGACTGAATCTCTGGATTTGAATACCATACGGAGTTGTACCATGGGGGTGTGAACGAAAAAGGGTCCGAACCGAGTGCATGGCAAGCAGGCATCTTGATTCTGTCGACTCAGCAAGCAAAATACCGACTGAGTGATGAACCCCTGAAGCTGCGACAACCAAGATCGCAGTACTCAGTGCTCACCATCGGTTATCCAGGATTGATTCTGAATCAGGGATGCATTGCAATGAAGACTGAACCAAATTATCTGTGATCGGGGCATCACCAGAAGAGACATCTTATCCATCATTTTATCACGAGTCCACAGAAACAAGTGGGCAACAAAAGGCGTTGCCGATAGTGCGAGGTCACGAGAAAAAGCCAATCGTTACTGGTCGGTCCTGGCGGCTTTAGGGGGGGAAGGGGGGAAGTTCCAACAGACAACCTGCTTGTTGATGTTTGCTTCTTCGACAACCTTGACACAGTGCGGTCAGGGATCCAGAATTTCGGGCTCGTGAGTGAAGTTCTATTGGTTCTCAATGTTGGTCAGGTCACAAAAGATGTGAGCGGTTGGTAAACGGCACTTAAGCCCCTGCAAGAATGGGGCAACGAGGACAGGGGACCCCGTCTCTTCACCCAGGATAGGACAATAGGGGCACCAACGCAGCAAACCTGCATGATGCAACCATCCCAATACGGCAGGCTAGGGATTGCCCCGTGGATAGTTACGAGGGAACAATATGAAGAGAACAATCGAAAGCCGAAGCTTGCGCGCCCTTCGCCCAGAACCTCGGTGTTAAATCTCATTCTTCCGGAAGACCCGTACATGATAGACTTGTCACGAGCCCCCTTTTGGCCTGCGTCCGTTGGTCTGGTATGCTCGTAAAGTGACTAGGGAACCACAATATGTGACAGAAAATTGAATTTCCCCATGTCCAAATTTGCAATTCGTCGATCCCGCGTGGGAACCTCGCCATTACGGTTTCACTCACCAGTGAGATCATTGCGACATCCAATTGCAAGGTGACCCAAGCTGAGGCGAACCCCGAGAGTCCACACACATCACGTTTGGTTGATAAGCACCTACGAAGCAGAGAAGCAAGGAAGGAAAAAGATCACGAGAACAAAGCTTTTCAGGGTATCTCGTTCATCACAACGCTAAAAACCGCCGAAAATCCATGAAATCCGATCACCAAGCCCCGCAGAATATCAGAAGACAAACGTGCTATTCCCCTATCTCTAAGTCGTCTGATTTGGAGCCTCCTCCCAACTCCCCAAACCCCCGTCATCCATCGTTGGCGAGATGTTTCCATAGTAGTCATTAGTGAGTTGATCTGCTCGAAGACGTCGCTCTGCTGCTGGTGGCGTGTTCCTGGAGGATCTTAGCCTCTTCCAATGCCTCTCTCCTGGCAAACTCGTCGAGTAACCTGGCTGCGGACTCCAGGGGAAGGTCGGCAACGAGTGGGCGGAGATGCTGAGTTGCTTGTCAGTACTTTATGCGCAAACAGATGGGCTGATTAACAAGAAAGAGATTATGCAGGCAGGGGTTTGGCTGACGGGTAGGGGACAAACATACCGCAGGGAATGTGTTGGATTCTTTATACTTGAAATCTTCCAACATCCGGTTCAGTCGAAGTACCTGCTTCCATGGCACGATGATGTCACCGATCAAGAAGGTCGGAAATCGGGCCAAGGCAAGCTCCTCAACAATCCAGCGACGCTGGAAATAGGGCCGCATCATGAAGTCTGTGGCACCTATCCAGCGTGGCGCCATGAATGGGATTTCTCCGTTTGGGCCTTCTTTCCAGAGGTACTCGATCTTTGTCGCCCATTCGTGTGTCGGTGAGTAGTGTTGGGGGCTTTTCTCCCGATCACCCGGGTCTCCCCAGTGAGGCGGCATGGTATCTTCGATCTCGGCCAAGATGTTCATGCCTTCGTCTGTGTGCTCCATCTTGTCGCCTAGCCAGCCGACAACGAGTTCGGCTGATCTGAAGACGTTCCTCATGTCGGTAGTCTGCCTCTGCTTCTCCCACTCGTCGCACGGATTGATGCAGAGGAAATCACACCAGACCCGCAAGACGTTGGTCTCGTTCACAGGACGAGATGTGGGCAGTCCGAGAAGCTGCCTCAGCCAGCGCGGGCCGGTGTGGGGTCTCCGAATAGGCGTTCGCTGGAAACGCTGGGAGATGGTTGGGAAGAATACCGCGCGGATGTTCTTCAAGGCCAGGGACAGATGGGCGGTAATTGTGATGGTCTGGCCATTGACGAGAATCTTGTCGGTTTCGGAAGAGTCTCCAAAGAGTGAAGAAAGGGCAATAAAATCCAAATCGTCGTTCAAGCGGACGTTGACCAAGCGGCACTCGATAGGGGCACTGATATCGCGCGCTGACTGTATCTCAATCAGGCGGATCTCACGCCTTGACGAGTCCAGGCGTTTGTAATGGATACCTGTACTCATGTCGAGAGAAGAACTGCCTTCAAACCGGTCCGCAAAAGTGACGTTCCAGATTCGGGACGAAAGAAGTAAGCAAACAGGAGGGAAGTTCCTTTCTGGGAGCCCTTTTTCCCTTCAGCTATCTCTCCGACAAGTGCTTCGTGTTACCGTAAATTGGAAAGGTCCGAGAGCGGTAGGGCGGGAGACGCAGACAGGCTGGACCGGGGGACTTCTGAACGGCTTGCATATGTCGCACCAACAAGAAAAGGGGGGATGTAGCAAACTTCCAGAAAGCTGAACGGGATATCGGCGTTTACACCAAGAACGCGTGAAAGCGGATCCTGACGATTCCAACAGGGAGTCTGGGAGCCACCACGTTGTTGGCTGCTGCCACCCCTCGGTTGGGCCTTTCAGACGGCAGGGATCATGAAAGCGTGTTGGTCCTAGTTTGTGCTGGGCGATGGTTGGCCCTGCTGGTGCCCCCTCCTCCCCTCCCTTTCAATTGTTGCTATGGATTCATCGTGAGTCGAGATTTTGGGCTGATCCAGATCTTTTATCCTGATATTGGGATGTGTGCCATTAAAGACAAAAAAGCAAAATGTGACCCTCATAGATATCGTCGACGATCGATGACATCTTCAACTAGGACTCCCCGCAGATTACTACAGCATGTATCTATGTAGCCTGTTTACTTCAGGTATTCGTTGCTACCTCCACATGCGTGTTTGCTTTCAGCTGACAGATCGACCATTAGGCATGAACATGGGTTTCGAGACGATTTGGCTCGCGCGCGCATGCAAGCTGGAAGTGGTTAGTGACGGATGGATCATGGCTGCTTGTATTTGTCCACCACATCCATGACCTTAGGCTATGAAATTTTGAACGACTTCTTATTGAGAGGAGATCATGTAATTATATCGGAATCAGTGTCTGCAACCCCGGATGATCCCCACTTCCCTCGTACATGGAACAGTATGGCCCAGCGACCACGTTGCTTCTCTTAATAATTCTCCCTGTTGATTGTGCAGTCCCAACAGACCCCTGACCCGGCAATCAAGCTCCGTCATCTAGATCGCTGAGGCCCGGGGAGAGAACACGTTTGAGACTCACCGCTCTTGACATGCCAACAGCATCTTATAGGCAATCATTACTTCATGAGTCGCAATGATCAAAATTAAATGCTCGATGCGGACACTCTCAAGTCCACTCACCCCAATGGCAACAATCGAGTCACTGGGTCTGAAGGAGGCGGCGGAAATAAATCACTGTATCCGTAGTTCCGTTGGTGCCGGGTACACGAACCCGATGCTATGGGAGCAAACCTGGCCTCCACGAAGCTCGACCCACTGTTGGTTGGTGTCCAGCAAGCAAAGAAGACTGTTGGATACGAATACGAACGACGTAGCTTTGAAAAAGAGATGTAAGGCGGCTGAGCAGTTTGGAAAAGAGATCTTGCAATATTGCTGTCATCTCATGGTGTCATTTGGATTCTTCAACAAACAAGATCGATTGTCCCATCGACCCGGATTGAAGCAGACCGGTCTCTCCATCTTCCCGGAGTCCGGCGGTGAAGAGACTTGGAGTACTATTTAACAACTCACCAGCACATCTTACCGGAAGCAGATGTTTGCTCAACTGCAGAGAAAGTCCGAGCAATCGGTGAGACGATTAAATTGTGGGGGTGGTTTCCGTTTGAGATATCCTGCATGTCTTGGCTGTCAGACGCACTTCCAACAGAGAGCACGTAAATACCACTTCCAATCGGTGGTGGAGCCGTGCAGAAATCCTGCAGGAGACACAAGGAGGCTCAACATGCACCAACCCGACTACATTGTCGGAGCCGATACCAGATGAAGCCGAGATAAGCATCACTCACACGGACCTTCGGAGGCAACATGAGGGCATCACGACTATTGACAGCCCGTACGCAAAATTAACTTGACGTTATATCTGAGACATCACCCTTCATCACACCTACCAGGCATGCCAAAGTCGTCACCTCGCTGACCTCGGCGAAGCTAGAGAACGCTAGAGGGGCATCTCGGCAGTTCCCAGACCGTGAACCAAGTTAGTCATCACACAGAACCATACACGCCCTCAGCTGTCAAACCAGTCAGCTCGGAATCGTCGAAGAACCGGTGGTAACCCGATGCGGCGAAATCAGGGCGAAGCCACGTGGAACTGTCGGTTCTTCGGCGCACCGTCTCTCAAGATCTGCGCCATACAAAGGCTCAGCTTCTTGCCTCTTGAGGCAATGCACACGAGAAAACCCAGGGTCCTGCTGTGGCCCTGTAGCTGGCTTGTGACGATGCACAGCTTCGAAGAACGGCGCTTCATGTTAGTGCGCGAGTCCTTACCGAATTGAACGACGACTAAGCGCCCCCATCGAAATTTTGCTGGAAATGCTCTGCTCTCGTCTTTTGTCCGATGAGCTGATCTGTGAAAACGGTAACCCGTGTCCCGCGAGCTAGAGCGCCGCCACCGAAAGCTTCCTCGCCAACCACACAGCTGGGGGACCGTCCGGAATGACACGATCCAGTCACGGTCGGCTAAGGAGAACTAGACCACCGGGGAAGTCCACTAGCCCGTCCCGATCCGGCGAAATAGCATCCTCGATTTCCCATTTTTGTCACATTCCTGATCGCCCACGGATCGACAGCTGCTTTCTTTGCTGCTGTACGCCTTGCGCTGCATTCGTTCAAAGTTGCGCAGCCCTGCTGACAACCAGCGAACCAGTCCGGGCAAGCCAGAGAATGTGGTCGTCTTTCTTCTCTCGCTTTCGCCAAGAATAACTAATCATGTAAATTTTTCGTCTTTTGAATCGATGGGTTTATAAAACTGTCGCTTACCCCACCGATTTCCCCCCCCTGCCCCCGGAAGGCCCTGTGTGAGGTTTCAATTTTCGCAACATCAACCCAGGAGACAGACACATCGCGAGATTCTGTGTCGCCTCCTTATCGACATGGATTTGCCGAAGCTTACGCCGGAGGAGATGGCGGAGGATAGGTCGGCTACCGTTATTGGAGTGGTGACGATGTGTTTCGTCCTCTCAACCTTCTTCCTGGTCCTTCGGTTATGGACCCGAATACATGTCGTCAAGTCAACTGGGCCGGACGACTGGGCCGCAGCATTTTCTCTGATACCGGTTTTAGGCTGCGGAATCGCCATCGCAACAAGTTTGTCTTGTCCAAACCCTTGTTCCCGAACAAACAACTGACTAGTAACAGTGACGCGATACGGCCTTGGAAAGCACATTCAGACGGTCTCTGTGCCCGAGTATGTCGAGTTTACCAAGGTGAGCAAGCCCTTACCATTACCTTTCGAACTTTTCTGACCAGTATTCAAACAGTGCTTTTGGGTCTCTGTCGTTTTCTATGGCCTGGGACATCTATCTTTTAAGATGGCGTTCCTCCTCCAGTACTATCGCGTCCTAGCTTCGGGCCACATGCGGAAATTCTACATTGCTGCTATGGTCCTCGTGACAGCCTGGGGAGTCTCTGTTGTCATCATGTCGCTGGCATTTTGCACACCCATCGCTGGGTTCTGGGACCACAGCATTCCTGCGAAGTGCCTGTCCCAGCAGGTTCTCTATTATGTCTTCGGAGCTTGCAGCATCATCACCGACGTCATCATCTTCTTGCTTCCATTGCCAGCCCTGATGAAGCTTCAGCTCCCTCGTTCTCAAAAATGGTACCTGTTGGGGATCTTTAGTCTTGGATTCTTGTAAGCTCACTCATTCCCCTTCGAAAATCTAGGCCAATGAGAATCTGACAATTTTCCTTGTAGCATCGTCGCCATCTCTGTCTTCCGTCTGCAGTTCCTCAACATCCAAGCAGACTTCACGTACTGGAACGTAAAACCCGCGCTATGGTCAATGGGCGAATTGTCGGCAGCCATGGTGTGCCTCTGCCTCCCTCCCCTCAAGGCCCTCCTCGCCAGGATGGGTCTGGTCGTCGCCACCAGACAGGCTGTGTCATCGAACAACCGGAACAGCCGCAACTTTGGGCCCGCGCCAGCGAGTGTGGCGCAGTCTGCCACTGGCAAAACACTGGAAACTAGCCAGACCAACTCCCCTGGGGAGAAGCCGTCGGCTTTTGGAAACTTCGTCGTGGAGACTGAGAGAGATCGCAGCGAGCAGAGTACATCATCTTCATTGCCTCCTGTATGAGGTGTCGGGACGGTCTCACGAGTTATGATGTCATGTGGTTTGGTTGGCGCAATAGGAACCCGGTGATTTGGCATTTCGGCTCTTTCTCCTGTTAGCTCGGGATTAATTATAGCGATGGCGGCGTTGATCAGGATGTTGGACTGATACCACAAGCCTTATTTCCATTAAAAACAAGACAATAATAGCATAAAAACGAGATATTTATCTCTGCCTTATGAAAGTTTGGGGTAGGGCACTGATTCCCTTCCAAGCATGATCAATCCCTATGGGTAACGACATAATGAAAAAGAGTTTCAATTTACTCGAGCGCCAAGTCCATTCGAGCATTTCGCACTACCATAAGGTGACCACGAACGGTGCTCAATATGCCAGCTAAGATCACCACTCGTAGCCTCGGCGATGCTCTTCAGGGAAATTTTGCTGATTGGTCGAGACACAACTTCTCATCGGCCGCCTCTATCTGAAAGCGAAGCTAAAGATATGATAAGATCACACAACAATTTAAAGGACTCATCTCAAACACAGATCTACGAATCACTGCCATTAAAGTGTCTATCAGGACTCTATGCATATGCATGCACTCAAGAGCATTGAGTACCACCCAAGGACGCCACCTTGCCACGGCCGAGACAGCAGCTGCGGTAACTTGTGTATGCAGACTGAGGAATACAACACTTTGAGGCAAAAGAATCAGCTCGGGTTGATAGAGAAGTCGACGTAGCGTTGGTGACTTACTTCCCAGTTTTGAGCGTACTGTGAGACCTTCCCTGGGCAACAGGCTCTTTGATCTGCTTCCGAGCTCCAAGATGCAGTGTCGACAGCACAGTTTCCAACATATGTCTGGGCCATGGAGGAACCAATCATGGCACCTAGTCTTTCGTCAGAACTCGAGTGCAAATGCGTCTTCTGGATTCGTACGCACCAAATAGAACGGACGCGGACAGGCGCATGTTGATTGATCGGAGATGCAGGTGCTTAGGCTAAATGTAGTGATGGTGACGACTTCAATGAACCGGTCGCAACTCCAGAAATGATCGTCTTATTTATAATCTACACTCTCTGTCAGAGTTCCGACTCATCGGGAAAATCAATCACACTAAGTGGATAATTCATTTGTATCCCATCGGCAAGCGGATATTGCTTGTGAACTCTACAGAGCTTGCGAGTTACGCAGATCAGTAATTACCAAGTGGCGCATAGACATATTGAGCATGTGTGCGGCGCGGGATCCGCGAAAGTTTGAAGCTATGTTTACTGACGGGCCAATGAAGGCTGAGCACGCATAAATGCTGGATCTTGGTCAACTCAACTCACCGCTGATCACTACTCGGTACGAAAGCGATACCGATACGAACGTGAAGGTTTCTTAAGAACTCCACAGCTCAACACATCTTACCTGCGCATATGCAAAGCGATTTAAATGATGCGGGAAGTTAGTTCGCTGCATTCATCAATACGCCTGGCTCAAACCATTGCGAGTAATTTGTGATTTCGCGTACAAATCAGATGATCCCAGATCAATAACTCACAAATTAGCTCGACAAAGAGCACTCAGCAGTGAAAGTATTGTACAGAGCCGACATAGGTGTTGAGGACACGATGTTCGTTTTCTCCTATAGATAATCCCGCTTCCCAAAAAAAAAAAGGTCAACCGCGCCTGGAACCAAATGCCTCCCTTCTCTTCTATCCCAGTTTCTCTGTTTCTCTGGGTTTTCTATGCTTTGAGAAAATTCTCCTGATCCATGTGCGGAATACGCGTGGAATTCTTTCCGGGTGACTGCACTCGCCCGCATCTGATTTTGCAAATTCGGACGTCTTGGGATGGGCTGGCACCCAAGAAGCAATCGCCCTCCTGATAGAGTCCAACAAATCAAACAAATGCAGGCCATGCCTCCCCTGTGTGTAATGACTACGAATGCAACTGCAAGCTCCGCCTTCACACGAGAACAAGTCGATGAAGCAATGTGCCATCTCATGAATAACAAAGCATATGATGTCAGCGACACTGTAGTAGTCGCCATAAGTGTTGATGTCAATGCTTGCACGAGTTGGCGGGGAATCGAGATAGTTCGTGATGATTGATGAAGTGCTCCAAGTGGCCAGCTCGGGATCGAAAAGTCGGATGTCGATTTCGAGACTGTAACGGTCTTTCTGCGACCGATACCTATCGGTCTGTGTAAGTTGACCGGCGAAAAACAGTTGATCGATCAACTCGGCGCATCTGCGTATGTGCTTGTGGTGACTGGGACGGTCGCTCTTGAACTTTTCGGTGTAGCCTTTGACTATGGCGTGGCAGAGCTCGTCTCGGGCGCGGGTCAAATCTTGGGACGTAGGTATGTTTTCAATCTCATCTATGACCCCATTGATCAAGTCATGGGGAAAGTAGCAGCCTCTCTTCAAAGGCAGATGTGCTATATAACCTGTGTTTTGCGGGTGAAATTGGCATGGTTTGATTTTGTCCATGGCTTTCGGCGAGTGCTGTCGTTCAATCTGCTCTACGTTGTCAACTTATTGACTGATTACTTGCGCGCTGCGTAGACATCCACCTAAGTGTGATCCGCGGGGAATAGCCACTTGATATAGAACTGACTATGCACCTGAGGAACAAAGCTTGAATGCGATTTTCGGCGGAATTCTATGAAGATTGGCCAAGAACAGTTGAACTGACTTCACCCCACGTGCAAAAGTTCACGGCAATCTCACTTCGTCGCATTAATCACAGAGGACGAAAACCCTCAAGATCTACATAAAACCCCATCATTCCAGACTTTGTTTGTTTGCTGTACTTCCTTTGCTGAAACTGTGACAAACAGTTTCGGAGAATCGGATTCCTCTACAACACTTACCAAGCTCCCGCAACACATCAGCTAGGTTCATACATTGTTGTCCGCCAGATACCTGCAGATTTTGTATGTCACATTAATTCTCAACCGACCTGTCTCCGCGGCAGAACTTTAACGAGCAGCGGTTCTGTAGGCACAGCAGCTACCCATTCCCGTCTCTTTGGCAGCTCTACCGGTATCCAGCCGTGGCCGTATGAGTGACTTGAAGACTCATCAGGGGCAACCAACTCAAAACTCTGGATGATCTTCGCCAAGCTGAGGTAAAGTTCATAGTAGGAAAAGCTATTCAGATTAATCGTCAGACAGGCTCTCGATCATGCGGAGATTTGATCACTTACTGGAGGCCAATGCAAATGTTTGGCCCTTTCGAGAATGGAACATAGAATTTGTCTCGAAGGGCGTCTTCTTTGATTATCATTCCGCTCTCATTGACCCAACGGTATGGATCAAACAGCTCGGGGTTTGGGAATGCAGACTTGTCCCGCAAATACCAAATTGGCGATGAAGTCAACACGGTCTTTGTTGGTCAGTTAGATCTTTTTAGACAAATCGAACAGTACTGAAAGAAGATGCAAACCAAAGTTTCGTTTATAAACGGCAAGAAGTGCCACAGAAAACACGGAAGAGACAACGCGAAACACACAAACGATGACTGCAGAAATAGAACAATAGTGAGTTGCACCTACCCCTTCTGGGATGAATTTACCAAGAAGCTCCACGCCGCCCTTTAGAACAACCCGGGGCAACATCGCAGCAGCTGCACCGGCCCAACGAACGCCTTCCTTCACGCAGGCCTTCAGTCGAGGAATGTTTTCCAAAGCAGTCAAGTCGGTTGGGAATCCCACGCGAGCAAGATCTTCGTAGAGCGTTTGTTGGAACACTTGGTTTTTGGACAGTGCGTACAGGGTGTGTGCCAATGAAGCTGAAGTTGTGTCTGTTCCTGGTCCCAAGTTCTCTTTGGCTTCGGACAGTGCGGTTTGGGATGGAACTCCCGCTGCAACCATGACTCTGATCAAGTTGGGAAATTCAGAGGATGTTGGTTTCTCGGCGAGCTTGTTGCGAGTCCAGGCATCGTGTGTCCACTAAAACATCATAAGTTGGGGATAGAGTGGCGTCGACACGTTACAAACCTGGTCGTATTGCGCAAGGCCTTGTTTGTACGAGACTCGTGACCCAGTAGCTCGGCAGACGATGTCCTCAATTGAAATCCAAAGCTCATAAAGCGTCGGAAAATTCATAAGCTAATCAAATCAGTCTGTTGCTTCTCCATTCCTGTTGATGATGAACCTACCAAAGGCATCAACGTCGCTTTGTGGTCGTTCTTGGATACTATCGCGAGCTCTTCTTCTTTAGACCAAGCAGCAATGGCATGAAGTGCCTCACCGAAAGAGAATTCCGCTACAGCTAGTCAGTCTTGATACAGCTCTGGGATGCTTCATGCCAAGGTACAAATGATGTCTGCTTCAAGCGCTCTACATGCCGGTCCAATGTCAAATGCACCAAACTTTTGGCGAATCATCGCAACAAAATGGTCCACATGCTTGAGCATTAGCTCTTCCAAATGCCCAATCTTGCTGCGACTGTACAACTGGCCAAGTATCCTTCGACGCTTCGCATGTTCTTCTGGATGACTTATTGTTCTCAGTGATGGTTCATTTAGGTTCAGCAAGTCAGCTTACGTGATTGAGAAAAGGGCTGGATGGCCGTCTTGGACGAATTCGCCATAGTTGCGCGGGTCTTTTACGAAACCACTGTTGAGCTTATGCACTGCGTCGTAAATTTCCATGGAGTAGAATGAGACATCGTTAGGACCTATCTGGACAAGGGGACCTGTCGCCACATAAATCAGTCTCGTTGTACCAGCAGCGACCCTCTGAGTGGCGATAAGCACCTAGCCGTTCGTGAAGCTCGGGAAGCTTCAGGGTAACGTTGCCTCTGTACTCTTGCCAGAAGACCCATAGCAGACGTGAGTAATTAACTCTCCAGCCGGCGTTTGGTAAGTGAGATAGAGACGACGTGCGAAGCTTAGTGAAGGTCTGCGAGCTGTAAGTAAGTGGTCAACCGATGAACGTGTTTGTCATTGATCGTTGTCACCTTTACTATCGTCAATGCCACCAACACCAAGAGGCCCAAAAGCGTTACGGCTAGCAGAGCCAT